AGGCTGGAAGTGCCCTCAATCATGATTGCTTATGATTTCTCCTTCTCTAGAACGCGAATAAGTTCAGACTCGTAAAATTTTCCCTCAATCGGTTCTCTGTTAGTATCAATCAATTTGTATGTTGGAGGATTTCGTGTTGGTATGTCAAAAAATTTCAAACACTTCATCAGTGAACGATCGTTTGTAACTCTTGCGAAAAGGTATGGCTACTTCGGCGAGTCTAACATAATCACCAACATAAAGCTTTCGACGTCGAACTAATTTCAATGACTGTTCTGCTCTTAATGAAATCAGGCGAGTAACATCTTTTTTAGTTTCTTTGTTTAGTGCAATATTTGTGACACGATTTGTTCTCGAATTAATTGAATTAAAAAATCTTGCAATTTGTCATTGCATGAGTATGTCCATTTATCCTCCAAGTATTTATAAATAAGATTTTTTAAGGAACGGATATTTCTCTCAGCGAATGCGGACTTTTTCTCGCTCTCTGCTATATGTTTTTTTTCTTTTTGTTTTTACTCATTGCTTCGAAAGGACCCTTTAGACTCTGTGCCCCTGTCCACCCATACTTTTTTCGGTTGTTTAGTCTTTATCGAACGCTTCTGTTGTTGTAGCAGCTTATTTTGATTTTAAGGGTTGCACTCTGAGATAGCGGGACATGCAGTCAACTGCAACAAGCAGATACTTAACATCATGGTTGTACTTGGCAAATTTATCAACATAGGCCAGATCTAATGACCAGATTTCGTCGATATCGTAAACTATGACCTTGAGTCGCGGCGTTTTTCGGATAACATTTCGATATTTTGTGTAATTAGTTTCAGTGTGAAGGAAATGTTCATTTTTTTGTCGCGACAAATTGGTTGCTTTTATCAAGTTGTTCATACTACCAAATAACGCGGGACCTCTGTCACTGTAGTTAGTTTTTAAAAAATTTTCTTCAGTTTTGCTAATTTTCCCATTGTTTTGTTTTCGCCTCCGTCTTTTATGACGTTGGAGAATCTGAATCGTTTTTTTTGTGAGTTTTTTTTATAATTTCAAGTATGGTTTTTGCACTGTGACTGTCCTTGAATACTTTCGGTCCGTCTATCGTTTTTCTTGTTGGGGCTCTGCTCTTTCAGTAAATGTTGCTTTCGTTGCAATAGTCTTACTAGTTTGAGCAGGTACTAGTTAGGGATCTAAGCCGGTTAAGGTACGATAGTTGAGCGTTTTTATGTTTAATACTTTTATCGTGAAGAACACGTGCAGCATGTGATTGCTCTTTAACTTATAAGTGTTTCGGAATTAGAATAAATTCTGCAGCAGTCATAATTAAGTTGTGAGGTTAGCAGTCATAATTAAGTTGTGAGGTTTTACCTTTTCCATCAAAGGTAAAAAAATTTTTCCATCAAAAGTTAGAAAATTAACTCAGTTTTCCCGGATCCTGAGTGTCCCACTATTGCCAACTCTTGTCGAAGTATCTGTCACTTGATTCATATGCTTGGGTTTGGTAATACATGACCAACCAAGCCGGATGAAATCAAGAACCAAACTGAAGGTTTGAGATTGCAGAAAGTTAGTAGAATTAGAATTACTACATTTGCGCAACAAAAACTAATTCAGACCTTGGCAAAGTTAGATTGTTACAAAACTTCCATGATGTTGTTTCACTGTTTGTTTTGTTATAAACAATTTTTGTTACTTTTGTTGCGTCAGGTTCATCTACTGCTGCTGTTGTTTCTGACATTTGAGAAACGGTTTTTTCTACCGACTGCGTTAGACTTTTTCTCTCTGAAAATGAAGCTTGTAAAAAAGTTAAATATAATAAGGATTATGAACAGTACAAAATTACATAATGTGTGAAGTCTCTATTTCTTATGTCATTCATTTTTAGAACATAGTTTGCTGGGATATTTGCAGTTTTTTCGTAGTACATTATTTTCTTCACCGTATCCTCTTCACAATCGTCTTAATCTCAACTGGCAATTCTTTGCTGTTTAGATCCATCTGAACTCCTGGATGACGTTTGGGTACTAAGACTAGTTCGGAAAGATGGGTACAACTGCTCGCTTGCTGGCTAGCTTTTCTGATAAACTTGAATCTCTGGAAGAATACAAATTGATCAATAACTGGAAAAAATCTTTTTAATGTAGACAACTTCTTCGGAAATTATTATTTGCTCCCTCCGAAAAATTTGGCCGCTGCAATCAATACGCTCTATTCTTGTTAATAAAATTTCATTGTCACGCTCTGGAGTCATCCACGCACAAAGCCTTGAGTTTTGTGATAGGTAAGTCTCCACTTTCGCTGATCTCTCGCTGTTGTTCATTTTTTAACCAATCATAAAAAAACCTTGCTTTTCTTCAGGGCGCAATGATTCCTGCAGGTGTAATGAGGTATATGTCTATTGCAAACTGGATAGTTTTTGAACTGTAAGTTTTTAGCCCGAGGACAGCCCAAATCATCGAGGGTTTCAACTTTTCGGTCCAAGTACATGGCCGAAAATTATTGTCTTTTCTTTGCCTTTAGCATAAAAAACGGCACTAGGTTTCTCAACAGAAAACTCTGAAATGTTTTATTTAAGTTTAAGTAAAGGTAATTACCGTTTTCCCAATGGTGACCGTGTAAATAATTTGTAAACCAGTTGTAAGCTTTTGTTCGAGCTTTGGTAGTATATTGAAATTCATTGGATAGTTTCGATTATTGTTCAAAAACTTGGATAGTTTTTGAACTATAAGTTTTTAGCCCGAGGACAGCCCAAATCATCGAGGGTTTCAACTTTTCGGTCCAAGTACATGGCCGAAAATTATTTTCTTTCCTTTGCCTTTAGCGTAAAAAACGGCACTAAGATTTCTCAACAGAAAACTCTGAAGTGATTTATTAAAGTTTAAGTAAAGGTAATTACCGTTTTCGCAATGGTGTCCGTGTAAATAATTTGTAAACCAGTTGTAAGCTTTTGTTCGAGCTTTGGTAGTATATTGAAATTCATTGGAGGTAAAAAAAAATGAGGCGGTCGCTGTAGTCTGAGGTTGTTATTGCTAATTCTTTAACCACAAAGGTGTTCTTCTTGTAACAAAAGCCTTCCACGTCAAACACAACTGATCTCTCGCTTAGCTTTCAAGTTAATGATAAACTTGAAAACTGTTTTTTTTCAGCTTACTGGTAAGGCAGAAAGCTATTCCTTTCAAATTTCCCAATAAGTTGTTGTTACGGTTCCAGGGCAACATGTAACAGTTCGTGGGAGCCTCTTGGTAAAACTCGTGTATAAATCCGGCGGCATTGTGCAAAATAGCGTGCAATCGTAAAATTTTGGAATTTTTCAAGTATTTGTCCAAGGAAGAGTTATCAATACTAATCAAGCCACCATAAAGTCTCAACTTAATTAAAACGTCGTAGTTAAGATTATCAGAACTATCAAAAAACAGAGAATATGCAGCTAGAAAATAGTTTCGTTGGTTAGAATTATCAGTATAAGTTTGTTTCAAAGACGTATAAATTTCGTGAATTGTTTTTAAACCGATAGGATTTCCTCTGCTTTTTTACAATTTCATTAATTATTTTTCCTACATTTCTTCAACCTGCTGAATTTCAAGCCAGTGGAAATAATAGGGACGTTGCATATACCATTAAGATATTGGTGGTAATTTTGTATTTTGATAGCTTGTTGAAACATTTTTATCTCCAAGACGGATTTTTCTCTCCAAGTCTTTCTCTCTAAGTACTTTTGTTTTGCAGAAATGCACTTAGTGATTTGTTGAAGCTCACTCAAATAAAATTGTTCTTTTAAATTTAACTCGTGTTCTTTCTTTGAAATTTCTTTTGCCCTCTCGAGAAACACGACGTAGCGTTCATTACAGAGTTTGAAAATTGACTTTTTTCCGTAGTTGAAAACACTCTTAATTATAAATGTTCATTATCAATATCTTCAATAGTTCAAGTTCCCTCTAATTTCATTTTTTATTTCAAAACTTGACAAATTTATGATTTGGTATGTTTTGCCCAGAAACGGCCGCCGCCTTTAGAGAGTAATTTCAATTTGGTGCCTTTTCACAATAAAGTTTACTGCTAGCAACAGTTAAGCTACGCTGCCGAAATCGCCGGCGAATTTTCATTATATACCATAAAGTCAATTCCACTTTCACTAACAAGTTTCAACTAGGTCGAAAGTTCATTTGCCCGAAACAAATATAACAATTAATATGATTCATATAATTTTGCCAGGACCAATAATTAGGACCCCACAAGTTGGAATAAGAAAGAATCATGTATCGTGTCCCTTGATGTCAAGCTAAGCTTAGCTAGATCCTAAGTAGGGGGTCTTCTGCTTTTTGGGTGGAAATTTTCTTTCGTTTACAAACTCCTAGGATGAGGGTCCTCCAAAAAATTAAAGAACCCTTTCCTAGGATTTTGCTTTATGTGAGAACCCCCCTCTTCGGATCCGGGACTTGGTACACTACTACTATTAATTAAATGCTGACTTGACTTAATTCCTGCAATATTGTTTATTGATGTATTTATATAATGCTGGTATGCGCCCTATCCAGCTTGTGCACGACCGTACCTAAACGGAAGGGCCCCTTTTACAATTTACTTTTTTTAAACTATTAATTACGCTGGCTTATGAATCCCATTTACAAATACTATGATTTTGCAAATGATTTTGGTTCAATTTTTTTTGTATGTATTGTGCAGTTGTATGCTGTCGGCCGTTTTAGATTTCTTCGTTTTTGAGTTAAAAATAGGAAGATCTGATCTTATACCCAGTAGTTTAGGAGAATTGACCATTTTAGCTTTCAAAAACCTGAAGTTGAAATTTTTTTTGTTCAAGTTTTGAAATCAAAAGCGTTGATGGATTCCCCCGTCTATTGTTGTGGTTGCATTCAATTTGTTGTTTTTTGTATATTTCGTTCATAAGCAACTTTGATGATCATAATCTTTTTAAAGCACCTGAGTAGCGTTAAACGCTAGTATCTTTTTTTTTATGAGACGTTTGTTCAATAGCTGTTGTATCACTTATTTAGGTTCTCTTTGAAGACGAACTGCTCTTGCTCCTGCTAAAACTGAGGCTTAATTTAAAAGATGAAGATTTGGCGTTACGGTTCAGTTTGTCAACAGTCATTGTGAAATCTTTAGTATACACATGGATCAGTTTCATTCACAATTGCTTACTCGTGAAGAAAAAACTGCCTCAATGGCCGCCAAGAAACAAAGTCGATGCACAGATGCCGAAACAGTTTAGGGAAGATGTGGAAATGAGGTACTTGCGAGCACTTCTCTTGGAAGTCGAGATCTTAGGCGAGAAAGATCCACGATCTGTCTATGAAATGGAGCCATTCACTTTCAGTGTGTTGCAGACTTCGACAGTTTGGAGCGTTTATGTCGGCATTACCCCAAATGGAGCTGCCAATTTGATATCTCCACTTTCTCAGGGAAGTGCCAAACAAAGTTTACCTAAAGTTGTCTTGGAGCTTATTCATTCAAAGCTGACCAAAGATGACATCATAGTTGGTCCACAAATAACGACTGATGTTATAAAAACATATGAAAAACTAGATGTTGATTATATTGTTTGTCCCAAATCTGTACGAACTCGTGAAATGATGCTAATTCGCCAGCTGGCCACAAAGTATTTAAAACGGCTAATGGCTTTTAAATGTTTGAGTTGTTTGCCATATGAGCTGCATTCAGTTGCTGAAAAAGTTGTCAGTGTGACGGTGCTACTTACTAATTTTAACACTCCCTTGTTGGAGAGAGATTGATAACTTGAGTTGTTTCTGACTCTAATTTTTTCAAATAGAACCATGGCTTTTGTCTTGAGAGCGTTTGATTTTTCATAAAAAATTTAATCGAAGATGACCGCTTTATAATGAAGTTCGTTATATTTTTTATGATTCAATGAACGTAGTGAAGACTCTTATATAGGTCGAAAGTTTTCGCAGTTTGACTTTTGACTTCTTAATTTCAGTTATTTCTTTTGTTGAAAAGATGGCAAACTCTACAATTGAACAGCAAAAGTGTAAAGGTCACGAAAAATATGATCGACTTCTAGTTTCGAAAGAGGTTTTCAGTGTTCAGATTTCCTAGCGGAATCAAAAGTTTGCCTATTGATTCAGTTTTTTCGAATTGGGTTAACAGTATCAAAAAAGTACCAATCATAAAATGTACTTGAAATTCGAAGAGCTTTAAGTCCCTATAGTTTTTCTTTGAAATTCAAAAGTACACGTTTTTTTTTCAAAAAAAAAAAGTTTTTTTTTCTTAGTTTCTTTGAGTTTTCTTAATATTTTGCAACAGACTGTTGGCTATGTTCATTGAAATTAACATCACATGAACTGTTGAATTCTTTTTTGACAAATTTTGTTTTCAACTCCATGCAATTTTCTGCGTTCGATTTTGATGCTTCAATTTTGCTCTCCTAATTTTCAGTTCGTTATGGATTAAATACCTGGCGCGGTCTATTCGTGGGAAAGTAGACAAGCGTTCATTATTTACTACGCGTGACACTATCTGACCTAGATACAGAATGGATGAGTTTGAATGTTCCATTTGCTGCGACACACTCGATGATCCACGCCTGCTTCCCTGTGGACACATGTTTTGCGGTCCAGGAAGGGGATGCATTTTAGCGATGAACAAAAACAATGTATCAGTTGACTGTCCAAATTGTAGAAAGACGCATTATATCAATGTGAAAGAACTAGGGCCGATCTATGTTCTTAACAACTTTCTAGTAGGTCAGAAAAAAATTGCGGATGTAGAAGACAAACAAAAGCGGAGTCTGAGCTCTGGTTCAAAGTCTTGCGACAAACATAGCGACAACTTCCTGTCCTATTTCTGTGATACCTGTGATATCAGTATCTGCGAAGTGTGCTGGGGGAACGAACACAGTGAGCATAAAGTGGGGCTCCTGAAAGTTAAGCAAAAGAAAGATGTAATGGGTGCTATAGAACGCGCGAACCTCGAGTCAACCATATCTGTGTATGAGAAAGTGATTGGGGATAATCGGAACAGAAGGCAAATGATGCTTGAAGTTCTGACTGAAATTGACGTAGTGAACCAACTGCTCGGCGCTAGGACTAAAAGTTTACTCGAATTGAATGAACTTTGTAAAGAGTACGTTGGACTAGATTCAAATTCGGCGAAATTGGCAGATTTAGGAGAACAATTGCTGGAAGATTTGAAGATTCATCAGAGAAACAACAAAGATGATGAAATCAAGAAGAATATCAACCAAATATCGAAGGAAAGCCAAAAGAAGTTCAAAACCTTTGTGAACCTCTGTGGTCAAAATGAGAAGACTCTGAATGAGATGAAGCAGTCGAATAAACAAGCTGGGTTGAAAATTCAAAAGCCTGATTCTGGTGGAAAAGGTGACGCCAGAAGTGAGGTTTCAGCTGTGGAGAAGGACTTAAAAGCAGCATGCTCAGGTTCACAGGCAGCATGTGGTTCGGCTGTTCGAGTTGACTCAGTTTCGAATGCTCTCTTGAATATGGAGGAACAAGTGGAATCAGATGGCAATGACAGTGATGCTGGAAGTGAGGCCTCCAGTGCTGTGGGTGGTGCCTCTTCGCAAGCGGCGGGTCCAGTGCGGCCTAAAAGTGGCAAAAATAGACGTCCTAAGCGAATTGAGGGATCTGCAACAAGTAGAGGTGGCGGATCAAATCAGCGTGGTGGTGGCGGATCAAGTCAGCGTGGCGGTGGGGGATCAAATCAGCGTGGTAGAGGAGGCCCCTCTTCATTGGTTGGGGTATGTGCTTCATACATGTATCTATTTTATTTTTCTATTATTGTTTGATATTCACTTGATATAAATGTTTGTAGTTTTTTGCCCTGTGAGTCCATTAGCATTTTCACTCGCGTCTGTAAGCGTTGAATCTAATGATGTTTATCTATTGAAAACGATTTGATATGTGTGCTTTTCGATTGTTCAGTATTCGAATTCTATGATCTAGATTTCTATTCTATGATTCTACTTTTTCAGGTGAGGTTTCCGGGACCTGGAGCCCCGGCGAACTTGATGATGCAACGACCACAGATGTTTCGACACGAGAGACCTCCATTCATTGCACCACCAATGCCTTCTCCAATGAATCCTCTGATGGCTAACATCAATCGTCCTTTATTGCCGATGCAAGCTCCTAGTCAGAATGGCCCAACGGGAGATCACATCCTAGATATCGATAAATTTATCGTTTACATCCGAGGAGATCTGTTCGCCACTAGCCACAGCCTCGCCTACACTGTCTCAGAGGAGTTTGTGTTCGCTTACGGAGTAGCTATTGACATCTCAAGACGATTCAGTCCCATTCCAAATCTGTGTCGTCAATCGAAGAAAACAGGAGGTGAACAGGTTTACTTTTAGACTGCATGATTTTAATTACACTAGCCAGCGTAGCTTAACTTGCAATTGAAAGTTTTCATTTGGTGGCTCTTTTGCTATAATCACGATCGGTAGCATTGGTAATTTCGTAACATCTGTTCTCTGCTTTAATTACTGTTTGCCGAGCGTTAAACTTTAGTGGCACAAGTGGAAGGACGTGAGGCTCCTAGTCTCCGAAGGACGTGAGGATCAACGCAGCCCGCAGTAGTACTTTAATTGTTCTGACTTTCGAAGAAAAGTGAATGTGTATGCTCGGTGTGGTTCAGTCAATTTTCGCCGATCAAATAATAGTTTTCAACAAAAATTTTTTTATACCCCATTGAAGATATCGACTTCCTGAGTTCAAATTTAAAAAGATATTTTACCTCCTATTATTTTCTGTAAACTTCTGGGGGTTTGAAAATTGCCGAATTGGCCATGTTCTGGACTAAATTATACGCGCTTTGAATAATTTATTCATTTTGCTGAGAGCGTAACGCGAATTATTTATGCGTGGCCAATTATCCCGCGCAACAAAATCGTTCCAAATTTATTCGGTCGTTTTAATTTTGTACGACTCAAATTTGATTTTTGATATTGTCCAAAATTTATAGATTTTCGATATTTCCTTTTCCCAAAAACTATTCGATATGAATTAAGGAACATTCGGAACATTCAGGGCTTTGCCCTGATATAGTAGCAGTCTTGTTTATATTTGTGGAAATTTTGGTGCATGGAATTGGCAATTTATTAGCATCTATAGCTGCATCATTGGTGGCTAGTGTTACTTTGATACTCGTGGTCGCAGGTTCGAATCAGGCACATGAGAAAAGTTTTACTAATTCGAGGCTTATTTCTACTTTTTCTAATTTTATTTTATAGAGCAACTTTTTGTCATTTTCTCGCTAGTGTTTTGAAGCGCAGCTTTGCCTCTGTGTCAACTTAGCCATCCGTCATGAGGTTGTTGCAAATGTTTTTTTTTACGGTTAAGCGCGAATATGAAATGAATCTGCTGGCTAATCGGTCACAGGTGACGTGATCTTCAAATGATAGACGCAAACAGTTGACTGACTCGGTATTGCTTATAGGTGATCTCCACTGCTTCGCAGATAGCAGAGTCCAGCCACAGAGATATATTTACACTCTGATTACGAAGCCGCAGGGAGGAAAGAAGTGTGACTTTCACTCTCTAGAAAGGAGTTTAATGTTAATGCGGGATCATGCGAAGCGGAACAATGTGAAGACCATCTGCATACCGAGGACGCTTGCCTGTACTTCCATGGAAGGACTCAACTGGGCATCAGTCGAAGTCATCCTCAAAAATGTCTTCTCGTATGGTGACATCAACATATTCGTGTATTCATCTACATGAAGCACTGACGCTCTCCAGCTGTTTATCAATGAGCAAAACGTTAAAATTTATTGAAACTTCATTTTGTCTATCGATAATGGTGACACAAGTTTGAGAGTAGTTTTTCAAGATCATTCGGTAGGGACAGAATTGCTGAATTTTCAAAGAAAACATGAAAAAAAAACAGTTTGAAAATTTTGATCATAAAAAACCTTGGCGTGATCATGGACGGTATATACTTAAGGCATATATAATGCTCTTATTTAATGTCTAAATGTCTACCCTTAAGAAGCGAAAAATTGTCTATGTAAATATACACAATAATTGTTTAATCAGATGTTTTTTTATGATATTCTTCGCTTGAAAGACGGCACGGTAGCGCACATGAGTTATCGTCTTTCCTCAAAAGTGAGAAGACCACCGATGAGATTTGTTTAGGAAATTTTTCCATGTTTTTTTTTCCAAAATCGTCGATAATTCAAAATAGAAAGATTTGACCGAACGTTTTTTGTGAGAGATTTGTAGCCCTAGAAGGAGCTCTGTTAGCACATTGTATTTCCAATGGACGATTGCGAAGTGCTATTATGTTTCATTTCGCTGACTTTTGGAGTTATTTTAGCTGGACTATTGGCTGAAATTATTGGGCTTGAACGGCTGTAAGTATATATTTAAAAATTAGTAGTTCATGTTTTGTGTACGATTGAAAGTTTTCTTATCAATTTTCAGCGAACACAGTGAGTCTTGTGCTCTGCTCCGAAGTGATTGAAAAAAATAAATGTGATATGCCGAATATGATCCAATAGTTGTGGCAATCCAATTCGATAATAACTTATTAACTTTCTTCTCATTGCTTCTTTAAACTGAATCTTAATTGATAAAGTCAAGCTGAAGCTTCAGTTAATTGTGTAGATAAGCTAATCGGTTGATACAATGGACGACCTTGGTAACTATTGCAAAAGGGGGGAGGTATTCGTCACAAGGCTCATGTGTCTCATATGCTTAACCGTTAATTCTTTACTAGGTATCAAAGGGAGGAAATAGTTAACAAGATCCCAGAAATAATATCTGTTTTTACATAAAATTCAGTTCAATCATTTCATTTAGTACTGAAATATATGCTGCCTGTGCAAAACAGTTCTAGTTTGTTGTTTTTTTTTCTAATTACATACTGACGTAACCTTTTTATTCTGACGTAACCCCAAATAAGTGTAAAAGAACGGAGTGGTTGAGACTTATATAGGTCTTGATGGTTTTTTGTTAAGAATTGAGATGTAAGTAGTTCAGACTGGTATAGAGGTCGCGATAATTTTTACACAAGCTAGGCTTGTTTTTACATTGGCTGGTCTTCTATGTGTTTGCATATTTCGCTAGTCTCTTTTCTTCTTACCCCACGTTCTACGGCCTCCATAGTTTTCAGTAGTGTGATTTTTGATCTATTTGTGAATTTTTTCATTTTCTCAAATAATAGAAACGCAAATATGAGATGAGGGTTTCAATCGATAGAACAATTTATGGGAATCTCCCGTTTTTAAGCGTCTACTGCCCTAAATTCCATAGAAACAACTTATCGCCTCAAACAAACCCATTTTGTTATTTTGACATTTTGTTAATTTTTAAAATTGAGTTTTCTCAAAAACTGCTCCGCCAAATCGGACATTAAGCGTTTAACCGATTGAGAAACAGTCAGTTAAGCCAATCATCCCTGTGCAAGCGGCTATGCCCTGCGTTTTGGAAAAAAAGTGACTCTAGACAATGTGCAGTTTTTGAATTTTTGTACGTTTTTTGGAAAATTATTCTTTTTTTAAAACTAACCAGTTGATTCTGAGGTTGATAGCTCATTCAAACTAATATGTTGCTTAATTTTTGCTTGCGCAATTTGCCTAGTTTGAAGAAAAACTGATATAAATTTCGGAAAAATTCATTTTTGGAATTTTTGCCGTTTTTTGTTTCTCGAAAACTACTAGCTAAATCTGATATCAAGGTTTCAATCTGAAAATCAAGGTGTGGACGTGTTCCCGGCAGAAAATGCTATTCCCATTTAATATATGCATTTAAGAATGTTTATGGTTTTAGGAAAAAATTTTGAATTTTTGGTCGCTGTTGCAATCTTTCTCACTTTTTCGAAAACTCTACGTAACCAAATCTGAGATAGAGACGTCAATTGAAAATGCGAGTAGTAGTTTTCTCCTTCAACTAAGCGGTTCATCCCCTTCTTAAGCAGAGAAACATAAGAGTTTAGCATGAAGTTCTGTTTTCGAAAATGACGCATTTCCGTTTCAGTACAAAATATGATTACGCTTGCGATAAGCAATCGTTATCAAACTGGAATATAGACTTTTAAGGGTAAACAGCTAGTTTAACAGAATCACTTGAATAATTTGGTGTCTTGGTGCATAATGAATTGAAATATCTGAGTGTCTCCATCACATTAAGTCTGGAGGTAACGAATACGCCTGGGACGTCAAAGGTCCTGGGTTCGAATCTGACCGGACCTGTTTTTGTTTCAAACTGGAAATAGTCCGTTTTTTAAAAAATTTCGGCTGATGATTGTATGTTTATGTTTTGTCGGCTTAATTGCCATATTGTATAGTTTTTTAAAAATTTTCAAACTTAATTGTTGCTTTTAGTGTTCTGATTTCACTCTGTTTGTGCTGTTTGTGTTTTTGTTAAACTTGACCTCGTATATTTATGTTTTTTTTTTGTTCAAAATTTTTATTCTGCCGAAATCATATCGGCAGAATAAAGATATCGGCCGATTTTTTATCGCCTTAGTGACCTAGTTTTGTGTCGTTTCAACGGAAACACTTTTTTATGCTCATCTCTGGATTGCACAGAATGCTTAAATTTCTATAGAATTATAGTTCCAAGTCTTTCATGCTATCATTTTTTTCTGAGTTTTTTTGTTTTTTTTTCTTCTTTCGGCCTGATAGGTTTCGGCCTATATTATATCGGCTTATTGGCCGCATATTGCATTTTTCGACGTGCCAAAAAAATTTTGTGTGACCACGTCTGTGTTTTGAGGTTGAGGGTGACTTTATAACTTCTTATTAGTCCTAATTTATTTTTACACAAGCATAGCTTGTGTTATAGTTTTAACTTTCTTTTTTTATCAACCGAAGTCGCAAATATTGTTGCGACAAAATGTGTTCTTTTTGAAAGTGTTCATTTTGATCCAGCTATTAAGTACAGCCAATGCTAAGGATATTATACTATTATATTACAAATAGCGCTTTAGCTTCAAGGTATCATGGTTTTGTAGCGTAGAGGTAGGGAAATAGACCAGCAGTAAAATAAGAGGGTTCGAACCTGGGTAGGGTCGGACTTTTTTTAATGAACTTTTTCGTATACAGAATAAAATGCGTCCGCTTTATAAATTGAGACATGTTAGTTGGTAAATTTCTTTTCAAATTGACTGCTAATGCGTCATAATTTGCTTGTGACACTTAGCAATTATGCAGACCCACAGTTGGCGTGCGTCATTTAAGAAAGATTGTAGGCTCAAAGTTTTACTCATTCAGTTTTTTCCAGTGTCGTTGTAGGTTATATTTTTGCTTGTGGATGCGAAGTGCAACTTCGCCTCTGTGTAAATATTTTTTTCGGCTGTTTTTGTTTTCATTTTTGGGCTTATAAGCTTGCGGCCTATTTTATATCGGCGTAGTGGGCTCGTAATGTTTCATTTGACGAGCAAATAAAGTGTTATGAGGGTGAGGTGGACCTATTAACTTTTCAAAAGTTTGAAGTCTTAATCTGTTTCCGACTTCTGACGAGGTATTTTTGGCTATCGTTGGGTACATAATCTTCCAATGCTTATTAATTATTCTATTGTCTTGGCATGTTTTTGTTTCAAAACTAGCTATATTCATTTTAATAGATCTAGTTTTTTTTCGATTTTTTAAAACTTTTTCTTTTGTATCGCAAGTGGTGCGAAGCTCAGCTTGGCCTCTGTGTTAAAAATATTAGAACAGGTAAAATCATTAGTTGCTCCACTAGTTTATTTCCAAGAGGCCGTGGCGCAGATGCGACGACGTGAGACTCCTCATCAACAGGCCGGATATTCAAGTCGGAACGTTTAAATAAATCTATTTTTTGATCGAATTTTTGCTGCGTAACATTGGCACTATGATAGAAACTGTAGCTGCTTTATCGTGGTTGGTGTTAGTAAAATTACAAGCGTCGTGGAGCAGATGTGAGAACGTGATACTCCTAATCTCAACATTTTTTTCATTGTGTATTTTTAATCTTTTCCTTATTTCACTTTGTTTTGCCTGTTTAGAGCTTTTTTTGCATCTTCTCCGCTTGTGTTTGCGAAGCACAGCTTCTCATCCGTGCAGATTTTGCAGCATTTGCAAAATTTGACTGCATATGCAAACGAAGTATGGGAGGGGGCAGAGGCCCCACTTCAGGATTTTTACCCCCTGCCGACCCAAAGGCTTTTTCAAGAAATTCATTTTTGGCTGACCGACCCTAAAGTATCTCTGAAGCGGTCGTGGAGCAGACACTAGAACGTGATGTTCCTTATTTCACTAAAATTTGTTTCTCAAAGTGTATTTTTTATTTATTTCTCATTGCCTGTTTAGAGCTCTTTTTCGCAATTTCCTCACTTGCGAAGCATCTAGTTTTCTGAAATTGGGTTGATCTCATCAAAAAATAACCAATTACAAACTGCTCATCAAATTAGAAGAGTTGTACGGCTATATAATTTTTGTCTGAAAGTTGAAAATCTGTTTAACACAAGTAAATTTTTTTCATTGTTTTTTCCCGATGTCTGTTGGCTGTTTTTAGTGGAAATTTTATAATGCTCTAATAACTACAGAAACGCATTCATATGGATACACTTGATTATATATGCACTTATTGAGTTCAATTCATTTTCTTCGAAAATTTAGTTTCGAAAATGAATTTCAGTTTTAAGATATCCCAGCAGATTAAAAAATTTACCTATCAATGCAGTTCTTTATTGGTTCAATTTTATCAAAAATGTAAATTATATGTTGTTCTTCGGTCTACTGCTTCAAAGAGATTCGATAAGCTTTAACTTGATAAATTTCTTGGAAAAATTTTCAAAAGTTTTCAATCAAGTTCTTGACTGATAAGAATGCTGTTTTTGCTGTATCCTCTTCGTCATCAGCGAAATGATAAAATGCCTTTTAAAGAAACTTTTATCGAAATGAGTTAGTTTTATCTAAAAAGTGAGAATCACAATTATTCTTTTAACTGAATGAGTAAGAAAATGTTTCTTTCAAAATGCTCGATAGAGTTATCGTTTTTGTTCCGACCATTTGAAAATGGGGAGCTACTTTGTATTCGGATGAGTTTTAGTTTTTCTTCTTTGTTTTCCACACAAAATCATTGAACAAAAATAATTATCTCAAAATGTTGAGTGATATATTTATATTAAAGCCATTTCATTCGTGGTTTGATCGCCCTTAAATTTTTTTTTCTGTGTCGAGAAAAACCGATTTGAAATTTTTGATTTTTCGACTTAATTCGAGCGAATAAAGCAAGCGAGCAGGCTAACAACAGCTGAGTTATGCCTAGTTTAAGACCTTAACACTTAATTTTCAGCAAGTAAAATCAGTTTCTGGAGTTTTTTTAGCTGTAATTTGGGAACCAAAAACTTCAAACAATTATAAATTATTCGGCAAAAAAAAATTTTAAAAATTTTTATATATTTTTTTGTGTTTCTAGTCATTTTTCTACAAAATTTTTTGTCCAATTTGCCCCATAGTAATTTAGGAAAAAAAAACTTTCTAAACCGTAGTTTTCTAAAGACTATAGTCGGAACATTCTGCTCAGTAACCGGCTATCCTTGTTAGTTCATTTACGTTTAGTAGTTTGGCTAACTGTGCTAGCTATATTTATTTGATTTCGACCTCAACCGGTAGTTTCAACCGGGCGTGTGCGGAGGGACAGAAATGTCAAAATTGAAATAGAAAATAAAAAATAATGAAAGAGGTTTCAAATATAGATTTTTTTCGAAATATAAATCAGTTTGTTGCGCTTGCTATCTGCAAAATGAATTAATTGATTTCAGTGAATGCGTGATATAGATGGAGAACTATGTCTTGTATGATGAAATTGGGAGAGGCGAGAATACTATAGTATACAAGGGAAGAAGAAAAGGCACTATCAACTTCGTCGCTATCTACTGCATCGAGAAATGCATGCGAGCAGAAATCACAAATAGAGTCAGGCTGACTCATGAGTTGACTCACGAGAATGTAGTGGCATTCCACGAGTGGTACGAGACATCCAACCATCTCTGGATTGTAGTTGAACTGTGTACTGGAGGTACTCTGAAACAGGTGATAGAACAGGACCAACACTTGCCAGAGAACTGCATCCGCAAATTCGGAAGATGTATCCTTAGAGCACTGTACTACGTGCACTCCATAGGAATAGTGTTTAGCAACCTTACCACTCAGAAGGTTTTGTTGGATGGACAGGGAAATTTGAAGCTCAGTGACTTTACTCTTTCTCGAGTACCAGGCGAGGACCTGCAGACCATTTTCCAGCAGACCATGGAAGATTTTGAGGAAGTGACTGAGATCCACAGTTCTCGAGTAGCAGTGGACAAATGTTATGCTGCACCCGAGGTGCTGAGAAACGCCATGTACAGTCCGTCCTCTGATTTCTGGAGTCTGGGATGTATTTTGTATGAGATGTTTGCAGGAGCTCCACCTTTCAGCTCCACAAATGACGATCTGATGCATCATTTAGAAACCACTACTTTTCCGTCCCCAAGAAGCAAAGTTTTGTCAGCTCAACATACTGAAAAGCCTTCGAAGGAGTTTATGCATTTGTTGAGTGGTTTGATGCAACCTGATGTTTCTAAGCGATTCGACTGGAACGCAATTTCTGAGCATCCGTTTTGGAAAGGCAGTGTTTTGAACGAGACTATGGACAGACCAATCACTCTTGTAACTGGCGGAGAAGTATCCGAAATGGACGAACGCCTCGATACTCTGAATATATCAACCTCTAAATTAGCTCAGTCATTGCGAATGACCCAAGAGTTGAGGTCATCCCTGCGACCAAAAACTGGCGAGGATCCCAAACTTGCTCAAGGAACCCAAGGTGGTACATCGTCCAGCGTCCATCCAACAAGTAATGTAGTTAGAGGAAATGAATCTGGGATTCCATCAACTGGTAAAGTCAGAGAAGTGAGACCACACGAAGCGGCTGAGTCGACAACTCCTCGTGAGAGGGGCAATCAGTCGTCAAAATTTGATGGGAAATCAACAAACGGAAACAGAAGCGCCAGAACAACTCAGGACAGTTACAGTGTAGGGGAATGGCGCCAATTGATCTACACGAGCTCAGACCTGTCCACTGGAGCCATAATGGACAATCCAAAAATAGTCAAAGTACCGGACACTAAATTCGATGTTAAATCACTTCCCGCCCCAAGCATTGGTTTAGAAGGAATTAAAGCGCTTTCAGAAGATCAACTGAAGAATCACTTAAAGCCATTTGTTGAAGCTCTGATGCCTAGCGAAAAGAACAACAGTTTGCAGAAGACTAAATTACACGTGGCATCTTACCTGATGAAAGTCTGTTGTGACTCATTAAGCAACACGCTAATAAATCACTATAGATTACTGAACGTAGTTGTGAATCATGTGAAAAGCAACAGTTTGCAAGAGATGAGAGCAAAGTATTGTCGTCTTATTGGACTCTTAGCTCAGAACTGCTCACGTGTTAACCATGGAACCAACTTAATGGAGGTCATTGTGATTCTAACTGAAGTCTTGCGCGATAGCTTTAGGAATGTAAAGACAAAGCAAAGCGTGTTACCAGCTATCGGAGAGGTCCTGTTCCTAATAGCTGCGCAGGAGGAGAAAGAGGGATCCAGCATAGACAGCTGGACAATCCCTTCGATCTCTTTTACTATGGTGACCAGATGTCTGAGAGAGGGCGAGGAGCCAGTCACGCAACATCTAGGAGCCAAGATTGTAGAGAACATAGCGGCCACTACAGGAGTTCACTCAAACAAGTTCTCAACCACGGAAGTGGCACTGTTGCTGTGGAATATATTCTGTCACTCGTCCAGCGACTCACTGAAAATAGTGGCCATCTCTGCACTGTGCAGGATCAACAAACTAAACAGTGCAATATTTCCCAGTGTCATAGACAAAGTGGGTTTGCAGAAGGTACTGGATTCGATGGTGGCTAATTCCAAAGTACAACAGCCTGTACTGACTATGTTCCTAAGTATGTTGTCCCACGGTCAACATGTAGCCAGACTTACCCAAGATAGGGACTTTGTGAACAGAGTGATGAAAATGTTGGAGAGTCCCATTGCTACAGTTAGAGCCAAGTCTTTTCTGTTGCTGCTGATTGTGATAGAAAACAGCACTGAAATGCTTGTTTACATGTGCAATCAGCGACTGGTAGTTTATGTTGAAAGAGACTGCAAGAAACAGATGTCTGCGCGTGGCGATCATACTTCCTCTGTGAACTACTTGAACCAATGTCTGGAACAGCTGATACAGATAGTTGTGAACACTTTTCCAGTAGTGATGCAAGACGTAGTTGCAACTCTTGATAGTGTTTCTGGCCGCAAGCATCCATCAACACTCCAGATTAAACAGATCAAAAGCACTCTGCCTCTGTTTGCCATGTCAGTATTCCTCATTTCCAGCCAAGTTTTCCGAAGTAAGATCCTAAACGTGGATATTGCCACCAAACTGGGACAGCTTCTTAATCATGTTCAAATGATTGATTCGGGAGAAACATGTATAGACTCCTCAAATAGCACAGCGCTTTCCGATGAGTTCAAGAAATCATGTCTGGCATCTGTAGAATCTATCGTTCAACATCCTCAAATCATAGTTACCTACTGTATAGAAATGGTTGAAGGTATCATGCCTCCGCTTAGCAACTTAGTTATAAATAGCGATAACGCAGACATTAGACTGATGGCTCTCCTTTTGCTGTCTGAAATCAGTGGAGAAGTTTTAAGTCACTGCTTGTCTGTTGATGATGCAAACACGAAAGAGCTCAAGAACAAAGTGCTTTCGAACTTTGTAACCCTTCTTGTCCCTAATTTCGAGCAGATTCTCATCTACCAGGATCCGATGCCAGCCTATGGACTGAAGATGCTCTCCAATATACTAGAGACGTTCCCACACAGCATAAAAGATGTCGAATCTGCTGGTATACTTCCCATCATGTTCCAAGTTCTGACAGAACACGAGTCTGACCTGACAGGTACTGTCATCTTGAGACTGGTCAACATCTTTAACACAATAGTCACAACCAAAGGAGCCAATTTGGACGATTTGTATGACATGGGACTTGCAGATAGTCTCAGCTCACTATTTCTAGCCGTTGTCTCAAATATGAGGAGCTCCGATGATCACAACAGGAACAGTGGTTCTGCATTTGTAAATGATAAAGACCTAAAATCTGTGAACACTTTAGCAGCTGCTATCTTAGAAGCTCTTCAGAACCTTCTGAAATACGCATCTAATATAGTTAGAGTAACTCTTCAACAGAAAAGTGCGAATGGTGCCACTGATACATCAAAAGCTGAGGCTCTCTTGCTGCGCAACAAAGTCTTCATGCAGTTAATGTCTCCGTTAGTTCAGATGTTGATCTCGCCTGAAAGTGACATTCAGGAGCTGTCGTGCAATATCTTGTTCATCCTTGTGCAGCTCTACGGTGGAGCTGATGACACAGATGGATTAGACATTTTGTCTTCGGAGAACTTGTTTTGTATCAAGAGAGCTTTACTAGAATTTGACATGAAAAAGCAGAGAATTCTTCTACGATTCCTGAAACGTGTCTTGTCAAGTGATGCTAGTCACGTGGAGCAATGGAAAGCTAATTCTGTAGGGGTCGAGTTGACGGAGCTGGTTCAGAAACTAGCCAGTGGGTCTTCATCTGTGCCTGGTGCCACAGATGCTACTGTGAGTTCTGTGGCCAAAGAGATACTCAAAATCTTATTAGCTTGAACTGACTCAGCTCTTGTCTGACTGAGCAAGTGGCTTGTGTTAAGTTAAACTGATCGATGTCGTGTATGTCCCAAATGTAATCATAATTTTGTTTATAATTGTGTAACATGTTCATAGTGTAAATAAAATTTTCGAATGAATAGTTTCTATTCAAACTGAGAATTATCAGTTTTTTCTTTGAAGCTGTTGAGGTAAATTTTTTGACAAAGCGTTTTTGCGGAACTGTTTTTCGTCTTTTTTTCTGTATGCTTGAATTCTTAACAATTTAAGTGATTTATCGTGGTATGGAAAGTCAGATGTCCAGTTTTCACGATATTCAGCGGTGTCTCAATGTCTACTGAAGACTATCTACATCACCCAGCAATGAGTTGTATAAAATATGAGATATCTCAATGATATTAGAAAATTTGGTCATAATGGTTCTGCGCTGTAAAAGTCTGAGGGAAAAATATCGACCTGTTTTCTTGAAATGATTTGGAAAGAGAGTGCGAGAGAGAGACGTTCATTTTGAAAAGTCTTCTAATTATTGGAAATACAACCGATTGGGGCTGAGTTATTATTATCTAATCTATTATATATTTAAATACGGGTTATTGGGTGCTGTCAGAGTACTCTCAAGGATTGCGAATCTTGCCTCCAAATGTGACGGCTCAAATCCTTGTAGTTATCGAGATATGACGTTTTTTGTGATTTTTTCAAAAAACTTTCAAAATGATTTTTTTTTTCAAAATTTGAAATTCTTTAACCTGTAGTAGGGTGCTGTCAGGGTACTTTCAGGGGTTGCGAATCTTGCCTCCAAATATGAATGCTCAAATCCTTGTAGTTTTCGAGATATAACGTTTTTTGAAATTTTTTCAAAAAAAAATTACAAAAATTAAACGAAATTTTTTTCTTAAAACTTTGAAATTCCCAACTCTGTTTTTGGGGGCTATCAGAGTACTCTCAGTTTTTTCCAAATTATTTTTTTTCCAAATTTAAAATTCTTTACCCTGTAGTTGGATGCTTTCAGGGTACTCTCAGGGGTTGTCAATATTGCCTTCAAATATGAGTGCTCAAATCATTGTAGTTTTCGTGATATGGCGTTTTTTGTGATTTTTTCAAAAATTTTCAGAAAACAAATTAAATATATTTTTTTTTCAAAATATGAAAGTCCGAACCCTGTAGTTGAGTGCTGTCAGAGTACTCTCAGGAGTTGCAAATCTTGCAAAATGCAACTGCTCAAATGCTTAAAGTTTGTGACTTATTTTTGAATTTTACGAGATGTGCTATATTTTGATTTTTTCAAAATTTCTCAAAGAACTTCCTTACAAAAAATATCACAAAATATGAAACTACTGATTTGATGAAGAGACAACCTTATTATCAGCGTACACCCAGGCGTTGCAAATCTTGGCTCTAATTATGAAAGCTCAAATCCTTTTAGTTTCCGAGATGTGACCTTTGTTATGATTTGTTTTTCGGGAAACTTGGGTTTAAAAAAACTCACGAAGTCTTAATTCCCACTTCTACAGTAGGGTGCTCTCAGGGACTCTCAGTAGTTGCAAATCTGGTCTCCTATTTTTCCAGAGGTCCATTAAGTTTTCGAGGTGACGCTTTTATGGTTTTTCAAATTTGGAATTGAAGTTTTTCGAAATAAATTTGGAAATTGCCAACCCTGTAATTGGGTGCAGTCAGAGTACACTAAAAGGTTGCAGATCTTGGCTCCAATATATGCGATTTTTCTTGAGTTGTCGAAAAAATTCGAAGCACCGGAGGTGCGTTACACGCTAGTATATAATTAAATGCGGGCATCACTATCGTGCCATGTTTAAGCTTTTTCAACGCATTATTTTTGCATGTTTAACAAAAGAATTTTTTCGCGTTTAAGGTATATTTTGTATTGCAATGGTTAAGATTATTTTTTCGATTTTCCTGTTTGAATTCAGTGTTTATTTCACGAAGTTTGAAATCAGCAACCCAATATTGGGATGCTGTCACGGTTTCCCCGGGTGTTGCGATTTTGGCCTCCATATATGAAAACCAAATCCTTTTAGGTTACGATACGGAAAAGTTTTCCGAGATACCGAAAAATTTTATATTCTCAACTCTGTAGTTGGGGGCTGTCGGGTTACTCTCAGGGGTTCCGAATCTTGCCTACAAAAAGGGCTGCTCAAATATTTGTAGTTACTGAGATATCACGTTTTTTGTTATTTTTTCAAAATCATTTCAGAAAACATCGATTTACGTTTTTTTAAAAAAATTCGAAATTTCTATCCCTTTAATTGAGCTGCCAAAGTACTCTCAGGGGTTGCAAATCTTGCCTACATATCTCATTTTCAAATACCTATAGTTTTCGAGATAATCTTCAAAAAACTTAGATTTGAAAACATTCAAAAACTTTAAAGATATTAATCCTGTAGTTGGAATCTGTGGAGGTACTCTCAGGAGTTGCGAATTTAGTCTCTGAATGTGACTGTTCAAATCCTTTTAGTTTTTGAGGTTTGACGTTTTTTGTGATTTTTTTCAAAAAAAATTCAGAAAACTTAAATTTAATTTTTTTTTTAATTTGAAAGTCTTTACGTTTTAGTTGAGAGCTGTCAAAGGGCTGTAAGGGGTTGCCTCCAAATACGACTGCTCAACTCTTTAAAGTCTTCGAGATATGAAGTTTTCTTAAGGATTTTGAAGTTTTGTTTTTAGAACTTAAATTTAAAAAGTTTCTCAATTTGAAATCCCTAACCCAGTGGTTGAGTTTTGTGACAGTACTCTCATGAGTTGCAAATCTTGCGTTCAAATGCGACTGCTTCGTTTCAAATTTCCGAAATGTGACGTTTTTTGGATCTTTTTAAATTTTTTCAAAGAACTTAGATATTTAAAACTTTTTAGTTTAATGGTTTTTTCAAAGTTTGAATTAAAAGACCTTGAATAGAAAAACTTTGCTAAACTTGAAACTACCAACCCTGTAATTGGGTGCTGTCAGGCTACACTCAAAGGATGCAGATCTTATTTTCAATCTATGCGGTTTTTTATGAGTTGTTAAATTCGAAGCACCGGAGGTGCGTAACACGCTTGTACACTTGATTCAAACCGAGATTTCTATGAACTAGCCATTACGTGAGAAAGTCCGGGCTCAGTCTTTTGATCTCTGTGAGCAGTGGAACTAAAATCAACATATAACTAAAGGAAATTGATACCCTTTTTTGGCTGTTTTTTTATTCAACAGTGTCAATGAACGAAATGAAAAGATTGTTTGGTTGTATAATTTTTTTTCTAGGAAAAATCTGAAAATCGATTCTTTGCTAAATACGCTAAATATTGATTACGCAAAGATCACGCTAAATATTGATTCTTTGCGGTGTGAACTAGATTTTGCTAAGCTCAATTCAAGTTCATTCGTTAAGAGAAAGGCCAGTTATGCCCTTCAGTTACAAAATTTTAAAAAATTGCTCGGAAAAGCCTGAATGAAGTTTCCCAGTTTCTGTTGGCTAGCGTATTTTCCAGAGTAAGAGCCACATCTTTTATTAGGCCAATATGGTGTAAAATAGGTCTCAACTGAAGGTGTCTTGTATTTAAGGGCGTCTCTTATTTCAGGGCGTCTTCTATTATCAAGTTCGCTATTGGTGTCGATACTGACAGAGAATTGATGTGAAAACAAAAAAAATGATATTTGATACGAGGCTAGTGACTTCGAGGATGACATACTTGTCCTTAAAAGTTGAAATGATTATGTTATAAGAGCATTGAAGTTATTTCACTTGCGAGGAAAAATTTGGGGAAATTCAACCAAGTGCAGCTTTTATTTGAGAGCGCGTTTTTTTTCCTTTTTTACGCTCACGATTACCAAGCGTTATCATATCGGATTATAAACTTTTTTGGCTAAAGAACTATTTTAACAAGATCAGTCAACATGGCTGTTCGAATGGCAACAGAACAGATTGCCTGGCGAATCGGTTTTTCATCATTTCTGCATTTTAAATGGCCGTTCCATTCGAATGATCTTTGTTGGTGTAAATCAACTCTTAATTATAGTTTCCTTTTTTGCTTATTTTAAGTTGTTTTTTCTTTTTAAGGTTTTTTTTGCCTTGAGTGGTTTGAATGATGTTATATCTTTTTAGATGCCTCACATTTTGTCATTTAAAGGACTAGAAATTTACTTTCAATTTTTTTTATGTGTTCCACAGGGATGCGTAATTTTTTGTGGCTCAAAATGTTCTATAGCTCAAACTTTGTTTCGGCTCAACAATAGTTTACCCAAATAGTCTGCTCAGTATAAATTTTTCTTTAAAATGCTTATTCAACACTGGCAGGTCTGTGTCTCATTATTTTTCCTCAAATTTTTTTCGACTCAGGCTTTCGCCCTATTTTTTGGCATAGCTGCCGTGCTGCTTTTTTGTGTTCAATTGCAAGTGGTGCGAAGCTCCGCTTTGCCTCTTTTTATGAAAGAAGGTCGTCCTTAAACAAGGGCGTTTATATTCGGCTGCTTTTTCGCGAGAAAAGAGTGTTTTTGTGCTCAAATTTGTTTATTTTCCAGAGGTTGACTTCTTTCAAGTTCAATTATTTTTTTTTGCCAAAGGACAATTTAGTTTCTTCAATATTAAAAGTGTAATTAGTGCGAAACAGGTGTTAAATTTAAGGTTAAAAAGGGTTTGAAACATTTAGATTACCCAGTGAATAACGTATTTATCCAGTTTTGTCAATGTGGGTTAACGTTTTCAAAAATGTGTCAAAAATCTTAAAACCTTCAAGGTGATATCTTCCCAAAAAAACTCATCATAAATTGGTCATTCTGGTTTTTTTGAGCTGACTTACCCTTTTTCAGTTATCTGTTGGTAATGTTTGCTGCATTTTGACTGCTTTATTGCTAACCAGACATTTGCAGGGGGATAGCAATGTCAAAATTGCGTCTTATCAAGAAATGTCAAAATAGTCTTATGAAGAAATGTCAAACCAGAAATGCCAGATAGTCGTTTGCTGTGCAAGTAGCACAAGTTCTCCGACCACAATAATTTTTTTCTTTGAATTTGTTGCTATTATTTGTTAAGGTTGACTGAATTAGGTGAAAAAAAACGAGTGAACAGGAATTGGTAATAGTTATTGTAATTGAAGTTGTATTCGAAATGAATTGATAGGTCAGCCTCTCATCAAGTTTTGTCTAAATTAGTCAAGTCTGGAGAACAGAAGTTTCAGTCCAGGTTTTTTCACTCGGAGAACTTTTTCTAATTTATAAAATCGGAATCACTTTCAAAAGAGTTTTATTATGATTACCTTTTTGACCTCCTACAAGTTTTTCTCGAGGTAGTCAAAATTTGCTGGAAAAAGCGAACATAATCCATGATTCCTTTCCAATAATCGAGAGTGGTCGGAACAAAAAATAGAACTATCAAAGGAAGGTTCTTATAGAAAAAATGAATGAATTGTTTATCATATTAAACCCTGTAAGTCATGATTAACACTCGGTAAGAATGAAATTTAAACATTACCATAAAATTTTTCCAGTGTCGAGAAAAACCTAACTGTTTGAAGTTTTTGAATTCATCTTATTTTGAGCGAGTAGGTCTTATTAAAGGTATAATAGTCTAATTCTTAACTTGAGCGCTGAAAATATAGTTTTACTCCACTAAAATTAGTTTTCGCAATTTTTTATAGAGCCTTTTTCAGAATTTTTTAATCAAGTTTTTCCTCATTTTTTTAATTAAAGAAAGCTGTTTTTTCAAGATATCTAATTTAGTATTACTATCAAGTATGCCTGAGTTCTACGTTCTCGTTCAGATCCTCTGATCACATCGCGCCATAAAAAAGGACAGTTTGAAAAATATATTTCTGATTGGGACTTTCTGTGCTTCTTGCATAACACCCGACTATCCTATCTTTGATACTCCAGCTATAATAAGTTTAGTTGTAATCAGGTGTTAGAGATTGATTGAGTTTCAAAAGTAATCGCTAAAGTATCTTTAAATCGAAAAAAAAATCTTTTTCAGTTTTCTGGAGTTTTGGGACAATATTCCAGCTGTCTGATGGCTAATAACTCTCTTTTTTGTGGGCTAGTATATATCTACTTAGATGGCGAGTGGAACATTGATATCTTATTTGAGATTTTGTCTGAAAAACGAAAACTTCAAACCATTTTTCTTCACGCCGTAGATACTTTTTGTCAATACTACTTGAACCACGCTTGAAACGCTTAACTGATTCTCAGTCGACCTTGTATGACAATTCTCTATGGTGCATGTTTCTGCAGAAATTGCACGTGAAACCCAGTTTTAGTTGCCAGAACAAGCAGAAACAAAAAGTATCTTGTCCTCATTTTGCGTTTAAACCACCGTTATCTTTTTAAGGAGACGAAATCGGAGTGAGATGATTTAACTTCTCGAATGTATAACTTATAGCTGCTTCTTAGTAAACTAGTTCTTTTTCCTAATCCAATTAAGATTGACTCGACACTCGCTAGTAAAAAGTCACTCAATTTCATTCTTGGTTCTGGAAAGTGAAAACTTCTAAACGTTTTCTCGACACTAAATTATTTTTTTGTGAAATCTATTTTCACTTAGAATTGCGAGTAGAAGGGTTTTCATCAGAAATGTCAGTCGACCCCATCTGGGAACCTGATTTTGTGTAAAAAAAAACGAAGCCAAAGCTCCTTAGACGTTTTTGTTCGTATCACCGAAAGAGAAGTGATCAGCTCACAAAGATGCATTTGGTTTTATCTTAGAATATGGTTAGTCAGATCAGAGGACTTGTCCGCCGAATTTATCTTGTAACAAGGAATCAAATTGCGGTAAGGTCTTTCCGTGCGATGCCGATTGGTGTCAAGGCCAAGAAATCGTGTTGGCTTAATATCCTACAGTGGTTATACAGAAGAGACATAGAAAAAAGCAAGTACCCTCAGTGCAGTAGTAAGAATTTTTTTCCAGAAACAAAAATTTGATGAAAATGTTATTTTATTTAATCGCATCGAGCGCACAATTAATTGATTTAAGCACTGCAGATAAAAAATTGTCCACGTGTTTCAGTGGGATCAAATTGATATAAGGATATAACGATTTTTGCGGCATTCATGAACATTTTAATTGATGTTTTTTTTTTCAGTTTTTGTTTGAAAGTTGTCTATCGTAAAGAACAGTTAGGTGGAAATTATGGACTTGGAAGCAGAGAGTGTGACCACTGTGAAGTTGTTCGACAAGTGGTCTCTGCAAGAGGAGAGCGTGAGATGTCAGGACCTGTCGATCCAGGACTATGTCGGCATCCGCAACAAGTGTCTCCGATTCCTGCCCCACACTTCAGGCAGATACCAGGTGAAGAGATTCAGAAAGGCCTCCTGTCCCATTGTGGAGCGACTAGTCAACTCACTCATGATGCACGGGAGAAACAATGGAAAGAAATTGATGGCCATGAGGATCGTGCAACACATGTTCGAAGTCAGTACTACCTAGCATAACCCTGCCTTCTTATCGTTCACAGGCGGAACTTGACGTATCATGATGATTCTATTTCCAATACACGCCACACTTTTCATTGCAAAATGTGTGCGTTTTTAGTCAGTTTGAACTATATGCGCTTAAAAGCTTGTTCAAGTATTTTCCTTTTTTGAAGGAAGTGAATGGAAGGAACTAAGGATTCATGTCCGTTTTTTCCAGCCAATTTTGACTGCCTCAATGAAAGACCGTAGGGGTTCAATTTTTGTATCACATTAAGCCCTTTCGGCCGTAATTCTAATTTGAAAAAATTGCCGCTCTTCCTTGCATGTTTTTAATCTAAATCAATAGCCCTTTCTTACGGCAAAAAAAGTTAGATTTAAAATAAAATTGTTTGAATTTCTTTTCTGAAATTACTGTGTTCGGAACATTTTGTGCTACTTCCACAGCAAACGGCTATCCTTTTTGCTTTTTAGATCCTGTATTTGTACACTGACCAAAACCCAATCGATGTCCTCGTAGATGCAATCATCAACGCCGGACCTCGGGAGGACTCGACTAGAATCGGAAGAGCGGGAACAGTTAGACGACAGGCAGTGGATGTCTCGCCTCTGAGGAAAGTGAACCAGGCTATTTACTTCGTCTGCACTGGGGCCAGAGAGGCCGCGTTTAGGAGTGGAAAGACCATTGCAGAATGCCTGGCGGATGAAGTCCTCAATGCATCTAAAGGATCGTCCAATTCGTATGCGATTAAGAAGAAAGATGAAATCGAACGAGTAGCCAAGTCCAACCGATAATTGAATAGACTGCCTGTCTAAGTAAACTTAGAGTTGATATGTAAATGTTCTGAGTTAGAAATTAATTCAAAACTTGTCGCTCTCTTTTTTTTAGACATGGATAAAACTTCCACTGAGATAGTTCACGCTATGTAACCAGTCTTCTTGATTTGATTTCAGGCGCTGTGAATTTACACAGTCAACAAGAGAAGCGCTATCTTTTTTTCTCAATTCGGTATGAGCGCAATTCAAGTCCAAGTAGATTTGGACTTTTCGCCAGGACAAATTTTTACAAATAAAGACGGAAAAATTTTAATTTCTTTTTTTTTTGGTCGACTCGAATTTTGATTCCAAGTATATGCAGAGCAAATTTCGAAACCACTTTAAGGATATCCAATGTGCGTCACACGAAATAAATATGAAAATAATAAATAGGTGTTGACTATTCCTCAAATTTAATACTTAACGAAAATTTAGTAATCCCCAAATATCAAACTAATAAATATGCAAAAAAAAATCCTAATTAGGTATCAAAGGTTAAATAATTGAATGACATTGTATGTTAGCTACTATGTGCTATTAATTTCCAGGTCCGAGTGCTGTCAAAAATTTTGCTACTATGAGATCAAGTTTATTTAACCAGAAATATCTAAGAACTCGGACGAAATTTCACGATTTTTTTTTATGTTTGTTGTTTTAGACTTCGAAAATTATTCTCACTAATTTGATTGTTTTTCCAAACTTTTTTGCGGTTTGGCTTTTTTTCATGTTCTTTTTAAATTAAACTCAAGCTATGTGCTACAATAACAAAAGCGCAAATAGCAGGAAAAAAGTGATTCACTTACAGTTTAAAAGTCGATTTGAAGTTTCAGATTGCCCTGCGGAATAAAAAATATACCTGAAGATCCAGTTTTGCGAACTGATAAGTCTCAATGAATAAAGTGAATGCTCATTTTTAGTTAGTTTCATTTTGTGTTTGCCAGGGAAAAATTTAAACATTCGATTGAGGTCAATATTGATTTTTTTGCGGTGTGACTTAGACTTTTCTGAAGTTCAGTTCAAATTCATTTGCTAAAAGGAAGACAATTTATACTTTTCAATTACGAAGTGCAAAGGCGAGAAAAAAACGTGAATTTAAATTTCCTAGTTTCTATTTTGCTTAGTTAATGTGGTTGGAAATTAGTTTGAATAGGAGACATATTTAATTTTAGGGCGTCTCTTATTTCTAAAACTCGCGGTATGTGTCGATACTGACAGATATTCAATATAAAAACAAAAAGTTTTAGTTTGAATAAGAAGCTAGAGACTTTGAGGAGGACGTACTTGTACTTCAGAATTGAAATTATTTGAAAATATGATGTGATTTTCATTTCTTACGAAGTCTCTATTGATTTTTATTTCTCAAGTTCATGAAAAAGGGCGTCTCTAATCGAAAGGATCTTTTAAATGACGGCTTTTTTGAGAAAATACGGTTATGTTCCATTAAAAAAATCAATCGTGAAATGTTTAATGTAATTCAAAGATCTTTGAGGTGATATATTTGTTTGTAAAATATTCAAAAAGTTCTACCCGAGAGTGAGGCAATTTTACAAAAGTACCTGATAATAATACAAATAACAAAATAACACGGAGGGCTCCATTAGGGGTACCACAGCGAGTAGCTCTAACGAGTTGAACAGCTAGTATGCTGTTCCGTTTCTCAAGGGTTAAATGGCCGAAATTATGTGGTGAAAAGCACATAAAATATTTGTTTTTGTACCAAAAATGGTAGAAAAACGTCATTTTTAACATAATTTTGAAATGGTTTCTTTTTCGATGCAAAAAATAGTTCGAACCAATTTGTGGCGTTCGCATATTTATACTTAACATAATTAAATCATGCAAAAGCAGAAAAAATCTGGCAAAATTAAAAGAAGTAGTAGCTTTGTTCGGTATAGTCTGTGCTACTTGTAGTCGTTGAGAAGTATCTCTCAAAGTTTGAGTTTCTTAGGCTGAAAATAAATAAATGAGCCTATCATCAATTATTAAAGAGAATCCATTTTAATCCTTAAAAAATCTACATAGTGGGCCTCATTTATAGACTTTAAGGTAGCATTGTGTTTTGATCGTTGTGTTTTATCACCGCTCCAAATTTCCTACGAATGAACCACAGAGGAAAATTTGCGGTGAATTAGTCAAAAGTCGGTCTGGAATCACAAAAACCTAATGTTGGAAAAATTTTTGCGAATTTTTTTTTTTATGAAGATTTTTTCCTTTTTTCTTTTTTTTCCTTTTCCAATGTTCGGCTCAAACTTCTTTCAATCGAAATTTGCTGGCAACAGAGTGTGTCAGAAAATACAATCGGCTAGTTTTAAAATCTATTATTATATTTGCTGACACTATTCTACGAGTGGGCCTCATTTATAGACTTTAAGTCCGGGCCAAAATGCAGAGTTAATAGCATGTGTCCAAAAATGGCTCATACAAAGGCATATCTAGGGTTTTGCGAAAGTGGAGTTTTCCAAAAAAAAATACATATAAACCTCTAGGGCGGAAATTATTATGGATAGCTCACATAAACACAAAGGGGCTTTTTCACGTCGTGCAGTGGAATTTTAAAAATCTGACAAGTTGATTAGATTCAAAAACGTCAGTTCATGTTTTGGCGACCTTCTGACACTCTTTCAGAGAGACCATGAGCGAGTTGTTCACTTGTGCTCTTATGAGTCACGAATCGCCTCGCGTCTCAGTCTCGCCTTCTCTCTCTGTTTCCAATCCACCTTCTTTCTTCTCAGACACGGAATCGTTCACTCCCCACAACTGGGAACTGGCCCACGCGGTGCAGTTCTCGGGGACTAAAGTGCGTTCACTGTTGGCCTGTGGCGATGTGGTATCAATCCGGAGCACAGACCCAGAGGCTTCTATGTCTGGACTGGTATGTGTGGTGCGCGAGGAATCATTTGCCGAGACTAGCTCGACTAAAATTGAGTGAGTAGAATAATTTTTGTTGAAAAATCCTTTTTTGCAGTTTGACACGTCTCGTTATGAAAACAAGAGTACTTTGATCAAGAAGTATACTTTAATCAAGAAGTATACTTTAATCAAGAAGTATACTTTAATCAAGAAGGAGACCCAAACTGTATGATGTTTTTGCAATTGATCCTTATCAAGTCAGTTAAAGTTAAAGTAAGTTCAAAATACACTACATTGGAAGTTTCGTTTTTTTTCTGATGGCCAGAAGGTGAGATTACCTTATACGCTTATGTTAATTGCACAAGCTCAAACTGCTTTCCGGAATTAATTTTTAAAAAAACGATGTGGGATGAATGTTTGTTTGAAGTTGATGCAGTTGGGTTAAGTTTCCTTTTTTGGGAATTCCACTTTTCGTTTCCGGGAAACTGAAAGTAGGAGAAATGAGGTAACACATAAGGGCTGGTGAGGTCGAGTGATACATCGAACAGAAACACCGGTGAATACTACGAAAAATTTTTCAAGCGAAAACATGGTTCATACTCAGCTTGAAAAACTCAAATATTAGCACTGCTCACGAACTGTTTGTCGTTGAGGTTCTGAAAGCATGTCAAGATGATTGAAAAACTTTATATAAGAAATAATAAAGAAATTAAGTACATTTTTTTCTAATTGTTTTTGTAAATATGCTTTCATTCAGATCACTCCTTATAAGGGCTCAAACTAGTAGAGCTTGTTAGCTGATTTTGAGTTTTTGTCAAAAAACTGAATATTTTTGATTATTCAACTAAATTAAAATTCAAACGTCGTGTTAATTCCCGTGATTCAATCGATATCTAAATTTGATCAGTATCTATAAATTTTGCAACGGTGTCGAGAAAAACCTGTGTGAAATTTTGCTTTTTGGATTAGTTTAGAGCGGAACGTGGAAATTGGAGCTAAGTGATTAATTGGGTTTGTGTTATGATACGTTATCAGCCACAAGTAGTTTGTTCTAAGCTTAACTATTAGTTATTTCCCCACATGCGAAAAACTGCCTCCTATGCATAAATAACTCTGGTTGTTCTCACAGAAACCGGCTATTCTTATTTAGAGCTGGAGTGTCAGTGTTGCGGTCTGCAATTGAGAATTGCATCGACCCGTGCTTCAAGCCCATCAGCAGCCATTCCACCAGTGCTAAATCGGCAACTACTGCCAATAAGAGCAGTGCACTCAAGGTGATGATATGAGAGAAAGACATAAAGATCAGTAACTTGTTTCGGGGTTTCTAAATTTACCAAAGCTTGCAGATTTATCAAGACTTAACGGAATCTTTTTTTAAGCAACCAACCAATTTTTCTGTAATTACCCTTGCGTTTTTTTTTCGGTTTTTTCCATCTTTTTTTCTTTAATCGGCTTTAAATGTTTCGGCTTATTTTATATCGGCGTGGCGGTCTTATTTCGAATCGTTTGATGAGCAAAATATGTTTGGTATCTTAATGTTTTGAGGGGAGACTTAACAACTTTTTTAAGTTTTCAAGTTTCTTATGACATTTTTTTAGATCAACATAGGTCTGGTCTGCTCTGTTATTTTCGGGTTTATTGTAAATTTTCGGATTTATTGTAAATTTTCGGATTTATTTTCGCTATTTCTTGTAAACATAGGTTTGCAAACATAGACAAAATCAAGAAAAAGATATGAACTTTTCTGTAGATCAAATTTTTGTATTATTGTTCCGACTTTCGTAACGAAAGTAACGGAATATTTGTGCTCGGGGTGGGTTTTTTTCTTCAGACAAATTTTGACTTTTTATCTAGCCATTTTTGATGGAATTTTTTTAAATATCATTCGAAAGCTATTGTTATCATGAGCTTAAATTTGAAAAGATATTTCATCTGTGATCATTTTTCGTAAAGTTATGGAGGTTTAAAGATTGCCATTTTTGCCAATTTGGGACAATTAACGCGCGATATATTTCGCACTATTAACGCGTAAGCGGAGATTTAATCCGTCTTAGAAATCGTTCCAAATTGGTTCAAGAAAGCTTATATGCCACAATTGATATGTTAATAGGAGCTAAGTCTATCACTTTGTACTTAATATGACGTGTGGGAGGATGCTTATACAAAAAATCTCAATTTTTTTTTAATTTTGATTTTATTTTATCACAATCAAATTTTTGATGTTATTACTGCTCCATAAGCCTTAAAAGGCAGTCGGAACATTCAGGGCTCCGCCCTGATACGAGCAGTGTTGTTTTTTAAAAAATCATTTTTTTGTGTGTGGATGTTGTCTCATTTTCTGTCAGTTAATTTGTCATGCTATATTTTCGTTGTGTCGCTAGTGGTGCGAAGCTACGCTTCTCCTCAGTGTGAAAAAAAATGGAATATTAGTAATAACAAGACTGCTCGTATCAGGGCGAAGCCTTGAATGTTCCGACTGCCTTTTAAAGTTTATGGAGCAGTAATAGCATAAATATCATTAATAAATTAAATGTAAAAAAAAATTGAAAATTTTTTTTCTAAAATTTGAAATTTTTGCTATGAAAATCATCCTCCCACACGCAATTTAAACTCCAAAGGAATAGATTTTGCTCCTTGTAACAAATCAATTATGGCAAATAAGCTTCTTTCAACCAATTTCGAACGATTTTTAAGACGGATTAAATCTCCGCTTACGCGTTAATAGCGCGAAATATATCGCGCGTTAATTGTCCCAAATTAGCCAAAATGGCAATCTTTAAATCCCCATAACTTTACGAAAAATGATCACAGGTAAAATATCTTTAAAAGTTTAAGCTCAGAACAACAATAGATCTTGACTGATATAAAAAAAATTCCGTCAAAAATGGCTAGTTAAAAAGTCGAAATTTGTCTGAAGAAAAAAAAAACCACCCCGAGCGCAAATATTCCGTTTCTTTCGTATCGAAAGTCGGAAATCTGAGAGTATTATCATTCTCGATTTCCAATTCTTCTTGTGTTCTTTATTTTTTGAAATTGCAAAAATTTGCTTACCTGAAATAGATTGATTAACAACCTTATTTTATCCACGCGTTGATTGAATTTTCATACTTTTTTCAGGTGATAGTTGTGAAACTAGATCGAGATGCATCTCATACTTCCCATTCTTCGTCGAGGCGAGCAAGTTTAGGGAGAGAAGAGTGTGTGACTATAGGACTGGTTGAAGTGGTCATAGCAGAGCAGTACACTTCGAGGGCGGACCAGTGGAGGTACAGACAGAGTTTGCTGGAGGAGCTCACTTCCAAAGGAGGATCTATATTTCCCGGAATGGGGTTCACATATGCCAAGATGAACGCACAGATCAAGTGAGTGTAGCACTGTCAATGGAAAACATTGAATTGTTCAAACTCTGTAGAAGGTGTAAATGTTAAGACTTTTTGAGCAGCTAAATGAAAAATCAGTCCTAAATTAGCCTTTGAGAAGCGCTCTGATCTGATCTGGGTCCCCTCCTAGTTCTTATATACATAAACGACATGACTCAAGGTCTTTGAATTTTTTTTGTTGACTATATAAACGTCGTATTTGAGAACGTCTGTATGAATTTCAAAAAGACATTACAAATATAAGCACATGGTTGCATTATAACAAACTCACCTTAAATACACATAAGACTTTTTGTAAGATTCAGCAAAAATAGAGGTACTTCTAACAACTTAAGTGTACATGTAGGAGGTTCGTCTTTTGCACCAAAAACTCATGCACATACCTTGAAGTCATTGTTGGTAATAAACTGAGTTTTTACGATCAGGTTGATAAACTCAGATCGAAATTAGGCAGGCACTGTGGTGTTGCCTCAAAAATGCGTCATTTTGTATGTAAAAATATATTATTATCATCTATTATAATTCTAACTGAAACCTATAATACAATATAGTCTACTCGTTTACGGGTGCACTAGTTTTTCTACACCCGTAAACGAGTATCACCTATTTTTATGACCCAGAGAAAAATTTTGCGTATGATTCACGTTATGGGCAAAGTTGATAGCGTATCCGGAGATTATATTGAAACTAAAATACTGACTGTTTTTGAGTTTTATATGTATGACCTTTTGAAGTTGTGCATGCGTTCTTGAAATTGTTTATATTCAACTACGTTTTTGAACACCACATTTACGCCGTTAGAAAACCCCAATAAAACTAGATCAAATAGATTGCTATACCAAAAACCTTTCTGCGGAAATAAACAAAAGTCATACTCAATAGAAAACAAGGGTTCAAAGCTATTTAACTTACTGGGTGAAAACGACTTGCTACCACCGAATCTTGGGTGATTGGAAAATAATGAAATGTCCATTTTTGTTCACAAAATGTAAGAGAACTATATTATAGGAATTACTGATCTTACCCGGTTTATTTTTGAAAATTAGCGATTTAACAATCTGATCCCAGTGGTTGGACTATATCAAACCACCATTATAATTTAGCAGTTTAGCCCAGGAATATGACCCCTCAAGTCTTGCTAGTTTTCGAGATATCGACGAGTTCATGATTTTTTTCTCAAAAATTTTCCAACAACTGGTTTTTTCTTTAACTAAGAAAGAAAAGTTAAATAGACAGCTTGTTAAATACTTTCAACCACCAATACAGGTCGATAATCTAAATCGGAATCATGACCGCTCAAATTTTGCTAGTATTCGAGATATTGACGAATTGTTGATGTTTCTCAAAAAAAAAATCGGATTTTTTTCTTTAATTATTTTCTGCAATTTACGGACTTCAAATGAAGTGGGGCATCGCACTCTTGCTATTTACGAAAATCTTAGTAAGTAAATTGAAGTGAGTCACATTAAATTGTATAAAAAAGTTTTTTTTTCTATTTAAGTTATGCATATTATTCAAAAGAAGTTAATTATTTATTATACATTTTGTTAATTAAAACATAATCAATTGCTTTTGTTAAGTAAGCACTGGGTAGACTCTCAGTGGGCATTGAATTTTCCCTTTGTCTATCCACTTCTGTCGTACAATTTTTGATAGGTATGAATATAATATTGTCTACTTTTGATATTGTTTGCATATCTTTCATAATTATACAATTGAAGAAATAAATTCTTTCTTTCTTCTTTCAAGCGCTACATTTCATCAATACTCGAAAGTTTTTGTTTTCGCCCCTGAACATGATTAGAAAACGTCGAGATAAATTTAAATGAAGTTTTTTCGAAACGCGACATGCATATAATTGCTGCCTTTTATGATCAATGCACAATCGATATAGTAATCTGCTTTTGTATTGTTACTTCTCTTGATTGTGATGTTTCATCATCAATGGCTGATTTCCAGGTGTGTTTGGAGTGGGGAGAGACAAGTGTGCAGTGGAGTAGTGAATGCACAGACCAAGGTCACCTTCCGCTCCTCCACGGCCAAGTGGTTCCTGTTCCTGCAGATGAGTGAGGAAATGTGGCACTTCGACCACACAGGGAACCTGCTGTTCGAGAATGCAGTCGAGGGATATCTGAACACTCTGTTCCACCAGTGGACCACCCACAGATGCACACACGAACTGAACCTCGTGCTATTCTCAAGGACATACTTCAAAGGTAAATCACATGCTGTTACAAGTATTTGATCAAGGCATGTATTAATACTGTGTTTCGAATAACAGACCATCTTCACGTTAGAGGAACAATTTCTACCTATATTTCATAAAAACTATCAATTCCATGATTCTTTTGTGTAAGTTTTTAAACACTTTCATGGCAATATTAGCGCTCAGATAATTTTTGTGTTTAGCAACGTGTTTGGAGGATTTTCCAGAGCAAATGAGAAGTGAAATAATGACCTGTGATAGTATGAAGATGTCGCAAAATATATTCCCGCAGACAACTCTAACGAAAGATGACGACACAGGTATTTTCATATTTGAACGCAGAATATATACCACTTTTCATACTACCTTTCCACTTGGCCTATAGATACTGCGGTTGCCTTTCTACCCTAATGTATGCGGCGCCTTTGTACCCTAAGTTCTGGCGTTCGTGTCCCGGCCGGACTCTTGTTTTTTTTCAGTATGAATGAAATTGAAAAAAGTTATCAGAGAAAAATTGAATAGACCGATTTTAATTTGTCTGCTTGTTTTTTTTGGCTTTTTTTGCCTCATCGGGAATTTTTTTTTGTGTTTTCAGCAGTTTTCATCGTAGGTCTCAGAGTTTTGGATTGACTCCTGTAATTTTGGCCTTGAGGTAACGCGGTTGCCTTTATATCCTAGGGTCTGGCCTTCGAGTCCCGACCGGCCCTTATTTTTTCAGTATGTGTGAAACAGAAAAAAAAGTTTTCCAGAAAAAATTGAATTGCTGGGTTTTCGTTTTTCTGTTTATCTTTTGTCGGCTTAGTTGCCAAATCGGGGAATTATCTTTTGCTCTTAGCAGTTTTCAAGTAGATGCAAGTGTTTTTGATTCACTCCTGTAATTTTAAGGACCTTCAGTTGAATTGTTTTCTTTTTCTTTTGTTTTTTTTCGTTAAAAGCTTTGTTCGACCTAAATGGTTTTGGCTAATGTTTTATTGGCGTATTTACTCTTTTTTATCGCTTCAAAGGATTCTATATTGATTTTTTTGAAAAATTCAGCTAGTTTGTGTTGCAAGATTTCAAAATTTTGAATATAATTGTTTGAAATTTATGGCATTTTTTGGTTTCAGCTGTGTTTGATTATTGGATACCTGTTAAACTCAAATTCAATGAATTTGTTTTTTTTTCATGTATTCTAATTTTTGAAACAAAAGATGAAAAAGATTAAGTGTCTTTCAATCGTAAATTTCAAAAAATGTCCATGAAGAGAACTAACTGTATACTTGGAGCAATCTCTGCTTAACAATTTGACTGATTTAAATATTTTAACCGGTTAAAATGCCATTTATCGATTAATCAATAACCACTCCATGCCCAATTATTTGTTTATTTACCAAATCCGGTTCGGTATAATTTCTTTTTCGTTCTTTTTCTTTCGGTTTAAAAGTTTTTTAGAGTAATGAGCGTAGTGAGTACTCTTATATAGATCATGGTGTTTTTTCAGAAAAAGTCGCGAAACATTTTGAATTTTCGCGGGTTGACTTTCGATTTCTTTTTAAATTCACTTCAATTTTTTTTAAAGGAAGGCAAACTCCACTATCGAACAGCAAAAATCTAAAGGTCACGAAAAACTTATTTCGAAAATGGAATTTAATTATCAGATTTCCCAGTGAAATAAAAATTTTACCTATTGATCCATTTTTCTCAAATTAGGTTAATTTCATCAAAAAACACTGCTCGTACGATCTTCGCGAAGTTGAAAGAGCTTTAAGTGCATATATTTTTTCTTTAAATTTCGAAAGTTGACATTTTTAAGAAAGAAAGTCAGTTTTTTCCGTTTCCTTGCATTCATTACTCTTTTCCAACAGTCAGTTGGCTCGCTATGTTTAGCTAATATGATATCGTCTCAATAGCTTTATAATTGCGTCGTCTGATGAGTGAAAAAAATTTTCTGTAGGTACGTTTCCGCGGGTATTTTTTCCAGTTTTCAAGTTTTTTATATGAAAACTTTTTTTCGGCCGATGGGGTGTCAGCTCATAGTTTTAAGGGTTTGTTACCGCTTTGTAAGCTTTGTTTTGATGCTAATTTGATTTACTTGCATGTTTCAATTGTCTTTTTTGGCATGTTTTTTTTTTTAATAAGCTCTGTTCAAAACAATTCGAGACAAAGGTATAAAAATGTTTTTTGTTCTATCTCAAGTGATACTATGCTCTACTTTGCCGGTTAAATAGTAGGACAGCAAAAAGACACAATTTTGAAATCTATTTCAACAGATCAAGCCAGTTTCATTGACACCTGTGTGGAAAAGGATTTGCTTGAAGCCTTGAAAGATGAAGAGAAGGATAAGTGGAGAGGTCTGAGTTATTTGGGGGAGAGGACTGACTTCTACCAGGACTTCTTCCAGGTGGTGGCACTCGGAACCAGGAAGAACTACTCTGCTGTACTCAATGCACTTCGAAAGGGTAGCTAAAATTGGATGGCATATACGTGTTTTTTCGGCTTAGTTCGGTCATTTTGTGCTAGTAAAATATTGTTAATTTTAAAAAGCGACGTCTTAGCGAGATTAGAAGTTTTAACGTCCTCATACTGAACCTCATTGAGAGAGATTTTCAAACAAAATGAATTCGTTCAACACTCTATTTGATTATGCACTCGAAAATCAAATTTTCTAGCACTATTCATTTGAACCTGGAAAAATGAAAATATGATACTTGGAAAAAAAACAATAAGGATTTAATTTTTTCATACTCATACTTTTGATGTTTTGCTTCAGCTCTGGGTTGCTATCGAGAGTCTGTGCTCCCAAAAAGTGTGATCAGCAAAAAGACTGGTGAAGTTTTGCCTGTCCCGCCTTGTTTCAACTCTTCTGCTGACACTGGGAATGTTCTAGAAGCTATCAATATGGCCTTGAACATTTTCTGTAATCACTACATTGACAGAAATTTCGCCACTACAGGTGCCTATTTTTTGTAACTTGGAATGGTATTTAAGTGTTGAGACTACTTTTTGAATTTCGGCGAGTCACCTTTCATCTATTTCAGATTAGTTTTTCGAAACCGCTTCAGTTTTTCTAATCGCACTGCCAAAACGTATGAAACTTTCCTCTTTTAATTGGTTTTCGTTCAGTTGCTGTATGTTTTTCTGCATTATAGTTCGCTGATTATATTGCTATAAAATATCGATATCTAACTTCCAGCTTGAACTTGACTGTTAAGGTCAGAGCGTTGTGGTTGTAAGTCCTGCGAGTGGCCTGTTTGAAGTGGAGAGGGAGCTATCTCTCCTCACTAAGCAACGAATGATAGACTTCGGCATCCGGGTGGACTTCGTCTGTCTGGGACCCCCTCCCCTCCATATCAGACCCCTCTTCAAATTCACACGCCCATCCGACGAGTTCTTCATCCCTCTCGGCTTCACTCAGGTCCACTACTCCCCCAAGATGAGTTCTACAGCGGCGCTGGCTGCCACTTTCATGCGAAATGACACTTTGCAGTATGCGTAAAATTTTTGTTCAATTTTGATCGTTGCTTCTTTTCGAGTGCTCATTTTTTGCTTTATTGTTCACAATGACCTTTCGAAATGTCAATTCAAACCCGTATTGAGTGCATCCAATTTTTTAATAGAATTTACAGGCGGATAGTTTTGAAAACTATAAGCATTTATGTTTTGTGGACATATTAGCTATCATGCATGATTGAAATTATGCTCGTTAAGAGTATTGAACGTAGTGAGTACTCCTATATAGGTCCTGGTGATTTTTTCTTTTTTTTTCAGGAAAAAGTCAAAATTTGTTCACGCTCAGTTTTGTTTTTTCGCGGCTTGACTTGTGATTTTTTAAAGTTCAGTGCATTTCCATTGTTAAAAGGAAGGCAAACTTCATTATCGAACATCAAAAGTATAAAGTTCACAAAAAACGTGATCAATTTCTAATTTCGAAAATGGAAATTAATTATCAGATTTCCCAGCGAAATAAAAGTTGTACCTTTTGATCCAGTTTTCTCAAATTGGGTCAATTTAAAATAAAATTACCCATCATAACTGTTCTACAAACTCAAAGAGCTTTAAGGCCATCTTTTTTCTTCGAAATTCAAAAGTTGAAGGGTTTTAAAAAAAACTGGTCCGTTTTTTTTCAGTTTCCTTGCGTTCATTTCTCTTTTCCAACTATCAATCGGCTATGTTTGTATATTTAAGTCGCGATGTTCTTTTCAGGAAAAGTAGCTAAGGCTCTTATTTGTCTTAAAATCTCTTAAGACTCTCAAATTCTTAAAATTTGTTCACGCTGAAATTTTTTTGCGGTTTGACTTTTGATTTCTTTTCAAGTTCAGCTCATATCCTTCGTTAAAAGGAAGGCAAACTCCACTATCAAAAAGCAAAAGTGAAAACGTAGTTTCGAAAAGGAATTTCAGATTTCCCAGCGGAATAAAAAAATTACCTTTTGATCCAGTTTCCTCAAATTGTTAATCTTAATTTGTTCTTGAAACTTAAAGAGCTTCAAGGCCATAATTTTTTAAAACTTTGTCATACTTTGTCATTGTTTAAATTATGTCAGTTTTTTTCTGTTTTTTCGGTTTTTTTTGCTTTCATTGACTCTTTTCCTACTCTCTGTCGGCTATGTTTTACAGTGCAGCCTTGACAAATGGTGGGACTCTGCAGATAGCACATTCAGGCAGTGGATCGAACGATGATGTCTGGGAAGAATTAAGTGAGGAGGAAGAATACAATGGACATTCGGTGATTGACAGCAGTCATTTAAACAAACTAATCGCTGACCTCGTTTGTCCCTCTACGCCCAATGCTCAGCCGCAAATCGGTGCGACAGCTATTTTTAATTAATATACAGCCTAAACAAGTAAAATCTGACGACCTTCGTCTTTGTGCCCTGAAAATGTCGATTATTTGAATGTGCATCTAAAGATTATTTCCAAGCAAAGTGATATTTTTGAACTGACTGCTTCAGATGTTGGAAGACAGAAGAAGCCGTCCCTATCCGCTTTCAACTTCCACTCTCCCTCTGCTGTTGTGTGGGGAAACTATGGGTCCATGGATGACCTGGATACTCGCAGTAGTGCCGGAGGAGTGAAGCACTCCAAGAACGCCCCCTCCACCCCGGCGCCTACAGCCATGTCATCCACTCCCCCCTCTAACAGCACCTTGACAAGTGGAATTAATCACATCCAATCATACAGGAGGAACAACCCGTTCTCGTTCCCCGCCTCATCCGCATCTAACATGAAGAGTCAGAATAAAGAAACGAAGCAGAGTCTGAACCCTCTGAGGTCAATAGAATCTCAGAAGGCATTTCAGGAGTCGGCCAACAGGAGCAGATGGGTGGATTGCTACCCGAAGTCTAAAGAAGATACCTCTGAAAATTTGTCACCCAAGAATAGCTCTCGTTTTTCAAAAGTGAGTGCAAACTTGAAAGAAATTAAGCGCGATACTCAATTTTTTCAGGAAGTGCCTAATCCTATTTGTCTATTGGCTAGATATCACGGTCAAACGGTAGAAAAAAAATCTTGTTTGGTATTACGGTGTTTTTAGAACCTGCAAGTTCTATCGGAATATGGTGGGAACGGATGTAGACTGTCGGGCTCCTCGCAAGTGTCGCCCAGAGTGAGCTTCCACCTACAAGATGACAATGACATTGGACGGGTGGACATGCAAAACAGCCTGACAGTTTCACTTGACACTAGGCCTAAGAGAACACGACAAGTGCATGTGCAACATCACACACATACGACATGCCACGTAGTGTCCAATTCGAGTGGAGAAAAAGAAGACGCCATGGGTTCCTTCTGCATCTGCGAGGCAGACCAGAGTGTCCAAGTGGACTGGCCTCTCTTCGTGCAGCCAAGTTGTCTCCCAGTTACGACCAGCTTCAAACCTGACAAGAAGGTCCGTTCTCACGTAAAGTTCCCCAAATTTCCAAATTGGATTGCTATTTTCAACTAAGAAAACGGGTTTTGTTTACTGATGGATAAAACTAGTTTCTTAGTAAAAGTTTTTGTTTGATGTTTAAGGAACTGGACCGTAATTTCTATTTGACAAATTCGGACTTTGACCTGGAAAGTTGTTGCTCGGAAACCCATATGGCAGCCAGGCCTGAGCTGACTGTTCAGGAGCTTTACACTGAGCTTGTATCCCAGAGGGTACTCCACGGGTATCAAGTAATATCTGCCTCTTCGTCGCATGCCAACGCCACTGCCGCATCATTCACGGCTAATGAGACCCTGAACGCCCGTAGTTCCAGGAATCAAGATGTTGTGATTTCTACATTTCTCAGGTTCAGATCTCTCAATCAGTAACAGTTTCGCCTCCGTCAGTCCTTGATGAAAACCTTTTAGATGATCTTTCTTTTAGCAAAGGGAGCAGATCTCATCACGAAGTGAAGCGGATTCGAGGCTACGAATTGGACACAGTCAAGTGTGTACAGTTTCAGTTCAAGCCAAGCCAATTTTGTAAGACATTCTCACAAATATAAAATTCGTACTCCTGTACATTTTAAGAGCAAGCTAGGCACAATTTCCAATTATATTTCATTGCTCTAAGTAGAAATTTTATTTTTGTCAGCACGCGACTTGCCACTGGACCCGACGAAATTGGCTCGATGTGAGTACAAGTACCAGTTGAAACCTCTGGCATCGCCAGTGGAGTGTGCTAGTCCCCACATGCACACGTTCGAGCCCACTCGTATCTCGTTTGGACTGGAGGACATAGACAGTATGAAGTGGGTGGCCATAGACAACCACATCATGAACCACGAACAGTGTCCATACATATTCGAGCAGAATGGCGTCAAATTTTGGAGGAGCAGGTTCTGTATCTTGCCAGTGCTCAAGAAATCAAAGTTAGTTTTTTTAATTAAGTTTTCTAGTGTATTTGGGCATTGTATTAGCTAGGTTCAGGGATTAATTACAAAAATAAGAAATTTTAAAATAATATTGGTTTGAACGTGACTTTTGGCTTCAATTTTGTCTCAATCAGTTTGCTCAATGTCATATTCATTTTTTAGCAGACCTGAGCTTGTTTACGACTTCCCACAGACCAGTAGGGAGCTACTTGAGTATGTGCACAAGTTCTGTCGAATCATAGAGTATCTGAACGGGATAGACTTGAAGCGAAAGGGTGCCATGAATTTACGCCTACCACAAGATCAGCATACACTATCGGGCCATGTGCCTCATTCAGACCCAGGGAGCAAGACTCAGACACAACCTGCTGCCAGTGAGGCTTCAACGCCCAATGCGCAGTTGCCCACTATCACACCGGTCGACCATTCTGCTGGAATATCTATATCTGGCCAGTCATGCACTAGTATTTTTCCATCTACACCGGAGAAGAGGCAAGATGTAGAGCGGAGTCGGAAGAAGTCCAAACAGCAGAATCCGGCGGGTGCCAGTGGTAGTGTAGACAGTAGCACCAGCAGCGCTATTTTAGACAACCACGCTGTTACTCTAAACTCACCAAATGCAGTGTTTCTGGAGTACATGCTCAAAAGTAATCAGGTCCCACTGTTCGACCTTTCCAAGAGCTTCATGGAACCTGCGTTTGAAACACATCTGAACAGTTCTTTCCTGGGAATTGACGCCTGTCGATGGGGTATTAAGTTTCTCAATGGATCGCCGTCTGAGGAAGCAGGTAATAATACGTCTTGTTTGACTATTTTCTGCGAATTAATTTTTTATATTTATAATAACTCCAATGCGAATGAATTTTTAGATAAATATAGGGATAAAATTGAATTATTCTTTTCAGTGGTTGAAAAATTTCAAGATCTTCTTGAGAATTGTCTCATTTATCCTACTGTGATATTGGCCGATGTAATGGTCTCAGACGATAAAAATTACAAACTACCACCCAAACTAGACTGCGTTTCAAAGCTGTTCATCCCAGGGTTCGTATTCTACACTGTTGTCACTGCCCCCCAGTTGCCCGAAATCATTGCGCCGCCACGTCTTCCGAGAAATGGGGAGCGCGGCAAGAGCATACTGTTCAGCTGGGACACTTTTGAAGTGATGACGTCTTGGTGTGAACAGAATTCAAGTTGGAATGAAAGTTTGAATCTGACCAATAGAATTGATATAGCTTCTGACCTATTGCAGAAGGGATCCATTCCATCTGAGTCCAAAAAAAGTGACGGAGACAGATCTATATCAAGTGAAAGCGATACTTTAAAACTTATGACAACGCCTCATTGGGGCACTTTAAGAAGGATCCTTCTAGAAACTTCGGAACAGGACAAAGATAAAGACCAGGACCTGACGGGTTTGAAACTAAATTTTGACTGGAAGTCGAGAAATGCTTCGTTGGAATTACCTGCAGTGAACATAGCGTGTAAGAGTGTGGATGGTAAAAGGCACAGTGACAGACACGAGTACTGCTTCTGTGCCTACAATATCCTCTACCATCCTCTGGCTGCTTTCCAGATGGAGTTCCAGTGGCTTGTAGCTAGTGGACCACTACTCTCAAACATGATCAAAGGTTCTCGTTAATACTGACACAGTTTAGAATAAAATAAAACAAATTCCTAAACTCCTCTTTGGTCCCTCATTCGAATATCACCAATAGTGAACCTTCAAGTAACCTGAAAAATTAAAGCAAAACTTTTAAAATAAAAAAAATTATTATGTTATTGAAGTAAGACTATTAATAGTAACTAAAACATTGTGGATTGTGGTCTATTCAATGTAATAGAATCGGAAATGTGAACATGACATTTTTTGGTGGCTATACCCCTTATTTTCATTATGTTTTATGATACTAGTTTTGACTTGGGATCCTTTAGGGCTAGTTTTAATAACGCAAACAAAAATTAATATACGTACTAATTCTAAGAAATATACGGTTTAAACGTATTTATTAGTAAGCACACCGATTTTTTGAACATTTTTTTTGTATCGTGTGTCTTAGACCTTCAAAGAAAGTGTGAACAGAACCAGTTCAACCTCGTGCCAATCCCGATGGATCCTTTTCCTTCCCTCTCCTCTGGGGAGACGAACAAACTCAGTCCTCTCGCTCGGGCCATCTTCATACCGCTGCTATTGACACCGGGAATGCTGACGAAATGTGGGAGTTCTGGACCCTCACAATTAGATCCGGATAAAATTTTGGACAGTCCAGATATCCGTATGCGTCTAATAGTGCTGCAGAAGAATATTCTGTCCCGGTTTGGGTTCCTGCACAGTAGTTGCGTGTTGCCCAAGAGTCTTCACAGAGAGAGGAGTGAAGGCGGATCGATTGGAGACAACAGTCGCAATAGAGTCGAACTCAACTCAGATCCTCTGCAGTTCATCCACGCCACCGGCTTCTGCTTCTGCTCAATTCCAGAGTTAGATGCAAATGTGGATAGTTTTCATAGGCTTCTTATCTTACTCTTTTCTTAAACACCCCCTCCCCTTTGCTGCAGCAAGATAGTGCAGAGACCCTTTCCATCACAAATTTGAAAAGAAAAGCTAGATTTTTGGGATTGTTTAGGAGCTACCATATGAAAAATATGTTCTGGTCATGTAAAAACCTTTTATTACTACTAACAGGACTTGAAAGCATTCTTGTTTGATCCATACAGACGTGAAATTTAAACTATGCAAAAAACTTGGATCTATCGGTGTCCCCAGAGGCTTCAAAAAAATACCGATATTAATGCTTCATCGTTAGTTGCCTGAAAACTCAGCTTATTTGTGTTTCAGTTACTTGAAGTGTGATAGAATCACATTGCATCATCAGACAACGCCCGAAGAAAAGACGGAGAAAGATGGGGTTGCGTTGGGATTTCACTATGTGGTGAATACTCTCTTCACTAGAAGGACGCTCACCAAACAACAGGAGGCAGAGACACTGTCAGTCGACAGACTCATGCTCACCTTCGCAAAGTTCTGCCAGAATGAGAACGATTCTCTTGCGGAACTGGCAGCTACCACTTTTGAAACTTTTTATCCATCAATTAGCAACACTTGAGATGAAAATTTCGATCTGAAATAAACTGAACACTAAACATTGAATAGTATATTTTTGCGTACACAGATTCTAATTTATCAAATATAATTGCATTTTTAAAATCTGTGGGCGCTTTTTTGATTGAGATATCTGATTAAATGCGGTTCAAACCTTACTTCACGTAGTAATACAGTGCTGATTACCCGAGCGTAACCCATTGTGATAGCACAACGCAATTTTTTTCCTAACCAAAAAGCAACTGAATCTGTAGGTTCCATCAGCAGTATAATGTCATGTGCTATGACATTTGACAGTAAAAAGTTAACACAGTTGATGCTTTTTTCATTCATCAATTGAACCGAAAATATAACTAACTGTTTCTTGAACAGTATACATATTAAAATCCCATTTCAGAAACTTTCAAACTCTGTATACTTCGCCAGATTTTTGGAATGCATAGTTAAACCTTAATTTGGTTTAAACATTCTAACGTTTTTACTTGCCAAGTTACTGTGGTTGCCATTAGTTAATTACACGCAAAATTTGAGTTTTTGTGCATTCAAAGCTCCCGATTCTTTGCCGCTTTATCGCTCGTATTTGCAAAGTCGCAGCTTCGCAAAAAAACGAATGAAATTTGAAACCCGTTTTTTAAAAAACTGAATTGCTCTTAAACAAAAAGTAAGACAAAAAAAGTTGTTTAATATTTAATAATTATGGTGCAATTAAGTTTGCGAAATGTTGTGTAGGAAAATGTCCCCTAAAAACAATAATTATGCCAACACCACTGGTTGATCTGCTGACCAAATTATATCAAATGGACCCGCTCATACATCGCAACAAAACTTGAAGGGGTACAATCTCCCAAAAAATCTTGCTCAAAAATTTGAAAAAATGGTTTTAATTGAAAAGATGATATTTTTACAAATAGCAAAGCTATTTTTGGCTGTCAAACAGAAATTTACTTATTTTTACCCTTGCAATCAGAAAAGGTGTTGCAACCGGGTATTAGAATATTCTTGCCCGCTTATAACTTTTTATCACAGAACGGTCCATTTGATAGGAAAGAAGTGTTACACGTGCAAACTGCTGATATGCTCATAAAAGGCTGCCATAAAATAACTAGTTAGTAATTAGGTGGAGTTCGTTTCAAGCAAATATTTTTTAACTTTTGCTTAAGTTTTTGCTTAAGTTTACGTCTTGCGTCAGTTTTGAATAATTTCATATACTTTTTTGTTTTTCTTTCGATTAAACGGCGGTTCCAATTTATCTTCAAGCGTAGTTTCGGGGAAAATTAGTTTTTATGCTTTTGTTTGTTTCAGCACAGTTGAAAAATTTAATAGACTTTAAAGCTCAAAATTTTGTCTCTCACAAACGTTTTGATTACACCTCAACAGTGGTCGACTGAAATTTTATCACTTTAGTTGCCGCTCACTCAGGTCTTCTAAAGTTATTTGTAAGGTGGATTAAAAATATCATTCAAAACAAACATGAAATTTATGTAGGTGTAGATTACTCTGTTTTTTTTTCAGGTTAATTGTTCAAATAAGTGTGTTAGCTTCATTTTTCAAAAATTGTTTTCTAGATCTTTTTGGTAATCTCTGTCCTGTAATGCAAGATTTTTGGCTGTTGAGAATTGTCATCATTTCTATCGTCGACCCACCTTATTGTTGAAAACGCGTTTCATTTTTCAGGAATGATTCATTTCGACAAATAATTTATGTAACCACTGCAATTTTCAGAATTATTTTCACAATTAGGCTGCAAAACGTTCAAAAATATGAGTTCACTTTTTACAATTCAATTAGCTGTTTCTAGCGCATGCGTAATAAGAATCTTGAAATAGGTTCTAGAAAAGCAAATTTTGTTGTTTCTTGTCTGATAACTAAGAATAAAGGGTTATATAACAGAATGTCGAAGTACAAGAGTGTTGAAAAAACTGCTCAAAAATCACAATCTAATTTCAAAAAAAAAACAAGGATTCTTACACTACAGAAAATATATAGTTGTTAAAATCAAACCACTGCCATAAGAAAGCAGGAAAATCTCTGTAATTGTCAATGGCTTGAATAGAAAAAACCAAATGTTTCTTTAAAGGAGCGTTTAATTTTCCACGATCAGTTATCACAGTTTTATGTTAACTCAAAATTTGCAATGAAAAAAAAAACTAGTCGGAATCTAGTTTTCAGAAAGGAATCTTTTTTTCGGAATCTAGTTTTCATTGAAAGACACTGCACTTGCAAATGCAATGAAAGCTGCTCACATCAAAAATGTATCACGTGGTAAGTCAGCTTGGTAAAATTTGAGCAGACAAACAAAAGTCGGACAATTCAAGGCTTAGCTGAAAAAAATGTGATAGAACAAAAAATTGGACGGGAAATTATCATTAAAAAAATTTGAACGATAAAGTATTTTCAATTTTCACTTATCGCATTTCAAAGGATCTAATTCAATGAAATCAAAAAAGGGAATATTTTGCCTTTAAGATGATGAAAAATAATTCAGTAAACCGAAAACACAAATCAAAATCATTTGGACCGGAAACAATTTCTAAGAAAATAGAAAAAGTTAGATATAAAAAACTAGCCAGGGTTAGCAAATTGAAAACTTCAAAAGATAATAAAACACCTTTGTAACTTAAAAAACTGTTGACATCGCAAAAATAATTGATCGGCAACTAAACCGACAAATCAATATTCGACCAACAATAGTCAGATTATTCAATTTGTTTTTGGAAAAAAAATCAATTCATTACACTGAAAAAAACGTGGCCGGGACTCAAACCTCAGACTAAAGGGTGCGAAAGCAACTGCATTTCCTCCACGCTAAATGGGAAGGGCCTGGAAGTTCCAATTACAAGACACTTGCTTTTGCAATTATTATAAGATATTGCGGAATTATATTTTTTATGCTCATCTCCGGATCGCACAAGAAGCCATTTGTTTTATTCCATTTTTTCATGCTTGATAGGTTTCGCGCTACATCTAATCGGCTTATCATATTGCGTCTTCTGACGAGCGAAAAAAGGTTTTGTGCGTAGGTGTTTGTGTTTTAAAATTGAGGCTGACCTAAAACTTTTGTTAATCTTCTTGACTTTTTTGGATTATTTTATTTTCCTTAATAGGTTCCGGCCCATCTTATATCGGCTCAGTGGCCTCATACTGTTTCATTTTAGGTGCAAATAAAATGTTTTCAGGTTGAGGTGGACTTAGTAACTTTGAAGAAGTCTGAAGTCTTGTTGATTTCTTTAAAGGGTTTCTGACAAGGTTTTTTTCGGCTTTGTTACCGCTGTGTACATTATTTTCCAATGCTTATTTCACATTCTATTGTCTCGGCATGTTTTCGTTTCAAACTAGCCTTTTTCTTTTTGGTAGATCTAGTTTTTTCAATCTTTTTAATTAAAAAAATTTTTTTCTTGTTTTGTATCGCAAGTGATGCGAAGCTCAGCTTCACCTTGTTGTATTAGTGTTCAACTTCTATGTTGATTTTAATAGCAAAATATGCAAGTAATCAAACGCTTAATTGCAATATCTAGAGGATAGTAACACAGGCAATTGCTTTCTTGTACCATACTGTTCATTACAAATTTAGAATGTTTAGTTTAACGCGTACTGTGACTAGCGCAGCAAATCTCTCCCAGAAAGTATTCTAAATTGAATTGTGGCAGGCTACTTGATCTTATTATTGTGTTACTGGCGAGCAGCGTTTTTTTTTAAACTGTACAAAGCGGGTTCAGTTTAAAAACCTGAAAAAGTCTATTTGAAATTGAATCAGAGTAGCTTTAGAGAAACATGATAGGTTTTGTTAACTTCATTGCCATGGTGTTTGAAAACAACTTTTGTTCTCAAAGTTTTTGCCAGCAGCAAAGACACTTTGAGCAGCTCCCATTTGGAAAGTACTGTATTGATTAACTTTTATGTTTGGTATTTGGCTAGTTATTGACGTGACATCAGTCAATCAAGCTAACAGTTTCTTTCCCAAAATTATTCAAAATCTAAAATTTTACCGAACTGGAAAATAGGCACAAGAAGGTTTAATTCAGAGTGTTCCTTAACTAAAGAAGTATCATTGATGTATATCAAAAAGCATGGCATCTAAAACCGAGTATTATGAGACGCCACATGTTGTTTTAACAGACAATTTCATACCAATAGTTTAGATTTAAAACCTCTTTGTTCAACAATTCAGCATTTTGCTCAATTTTAGGCATTTCGCTATATTTATTTTCAACTAACAATAAAACTACACAAATATTGAAGCCAAGTTTGGGGAAAAAGCGCAACATTCAAGAAAACTTTCAGTTTATTTCAAAAATTGGTTCACTTTAAATTTTTCTTATAAACTTGAAAGCAAAAGAAAACAGTTGAAAAAAAAAACATTAAGTTGTTACTGAACAAAAAAATCAGAAATCCACAAAACAAAAGTACTTTTAATCTAAAAAGGACGAGTCTGAGCCATAAATTTGAACACAAATAATAATAAAAAAAATTGTACCTATTCAGATGTTTGATATCCCAACAAAACAACAAAGATTTTAGCCGGGTAAATAGGTACAATAAAAAAATTTAGTTGTGCAAAAAAAAAACATTTTTTTTTCAATTGATTGTAATTGTTTAAAAGACAGTAAACAAAAAATGAACGTCTATCTCAAAACCATTAACGGTAGAACAAATGAGTTAGAACCTATAATTTATGTTTGGTAGAAAATCTGTCATGCTTCTCAAAATCAAAAAAATCAGTCTTCAAAAAAGTCATTCAGTTCAAAAGTGAAAAATTTAACATAGATATTTCAATGTTGAAAACTCGAGAACTAAAAAATCAGAACTTAGAACAGTGATTCTAATATGTTGAACTGCTCTACTAAGCTGATTTAATACTTTCCGGTTTTGATGTAACAAAAAAAGAACAGATTTTGTTTTTCCAAAAATTGCCAAATTAGTATCTTTTTATCTGTAAATTTAAATATTTAATATCTACAGAATTGGTAAATTTGAATAATCTCTTTTCTATCTGTAAATTTAAATATCTTATATCTGCAGAATTGTTTTTCTCATTAAAAACAATTAAAACTTGAATTTCG